GAAACAAAGAAAAATGCAAGAATCAATTTTTACTTGAGAGAGAGAAAGAGAGAGAGAGAGAGAGAGGAAGGAAGGAAATATGGAGGGAGGAAAGGAGGAAGGAGGGAGAAAGGAAGGAGAAAAGAAGAAAGAAATGCAACTATCAATTTTTAGTTTTTGGCAAGAATAGACATATGATGGGTAAGAATTACCAAATGTCAAAAAGACCCTTAATGTTCTGATTTCATTTTAATGTTATGCATTTCTGAGACAGGGTCTCATGCTGCATCCCAAGTTGGCCTGGAATTCACTATGCAGAGCAGGCTGGCCTCAAACACATAGTAGTTTTCCTGCCTTAGTTTTCTAAGGTATAAGCCACCACACCCATCTCAATCCTGTTTTAAAATATGTATATTTATAATCTTTTTTAATTTAGAAGTACCAAGATATAAAAGTTACTGTAAGAAAGATATAATTCAAAACATGCATTTCTTCTATAGTTTTAGTAACTTAAATAGTAAAATGGCACTTAACTATATTTTTAAAACATTCAATTCCTTTTCCCTTGTCGTGCTAGAGATCTGAAACTCAGCATCGTAAACATGTTCTGCAAGCACTCCAGCACTGAGCACTCTAAATTCTAAGAATGGTAAATGCAGTATTAACATTTTTGACAAAGAATCACCTACCCTTGGTCCTCTTCCTTTAATTTTCCTGCCGGACCTAGTAACTAAGAATCGTCGCTGGTATGAAGCAGGCTGGGAGTTAGGTGGATTACTAGAAGCAAGCAAAGGGAAATATATTACTTTTATAAAAAGGAAATCCTGAAAATATAGCTTTACTTATCTAAATGAATATATTTAATATATAACTGAAAATGCTATCAGATCCCAGTAAGCATTACCACCCTGAACGTTAATGTTCTTGGAAACAAACAATTATTAGTAAAGTGAAACTAATTTGATAGTGCTAAGGAAACTAATATATAATATCACAGAGGAGTTCCAAAAGAGAAAGAGAGAAAGTAAGACTATCTTATTCCAAAATGCTTTAAAATCTCCTATGAGCAGTTGTACATTAGTAAGATAACTTTGGAGAAATTAAACAACGTAAATCAGGCAGAGACAAGTTGGTCTGAATTGGTCAAATATTACAGTTCTGTGAAACTGAACTGATTTTAAATTATATATAAAATTAGCTCATTATAGTATCCATGTAAGTGATACTTGAAAGGTTAAACTTTAGTCATTCAAATAGTTTTTCTTTAACCTTTGTTTCCTTAAAATCAGTCAGCACTCGGGAGGCAGAGGCAGGCAGATCTCTGAGTACAAGGGCAGCCTGCTATACAGAGTAAGTTCCAGGACAGCCAGGACTGTTACATAGAGAAAACCTGTCTTGAAAAACCAAAACAAACAAAAATTCTCTTCCTAACTAGTAAAAAAAAAACTCAATCAATCAAAATTATCTCAGCTTCCAAACTTTTATTTTTGTATACTATGAAAAGCATGGCAAATTTTTGTACCATACTTGGAATTTTGTTATTTTAAAATTGTATTACTCATCATGATTAAAAAAGATTTCAATTTTTTAAAATTTTTACATCTAATTATTTAAATGACTCATAAACACCAATAGAACTGGTAACAATAAGAGATTTATGTAGAAAAATATTCAAAATACCTGAACTTCCCAACGAAAGTATAAAGTCAGTATAAATTACAGAATAAAGTCAGTATAAATTACAGAATAAAGTCAGGTTAAAAAATAAGACTTTCCCCTTTAGACAGATTTCTAAAACAAGGTTAATTCTTCTTTTTCAGTGTGTGTGTGTCAATGCACGTGCATGTAAATTCAGTTGCACCCATTTGTGTGGGTAGGTCTGAGGTCAACCTTGGGTCATTCCCTAGGAGACATTCAACTTGTTTTTTGAAACAGGGTCTCTAATTGACCAGCAGTTTAGCAGGTATGCTAAGCTGATTGGTAAGCAAAACCCAAGGGTTCATCCACCTTTACCTCCCCAGAACTGGGATCAAGCATGCTTCTGTAACCAGGTTTTTTTGCAGAGGTGTCAGTAACGACACTAAGGTTCTCCACAATACAGGAGTACATTCTCTCTTTAAACCAGAAAGGCCCAGGGGAAAACACACAACCACTCTCGTTCTCTCTGTTCCTTCCTTTTCCTTGTCAACAGCTTCAGGAAAAGTCTTTACTTGTAGAACTTGTTTCCTCAAAAATCTACTGGTAACTGGAGTCTTTTTTTTTTTTTTTTAAGAGATTTATGTATGTATTTAGCAAAAAATGAGCTTTGCTAGCATCTTTTTTTCCTAATTAAAAGAGGATTTCATTGGGATAAGGCCACCATTACAATACTGTCAAAAAAGAAAACTTGTATGGTCCTATATAACAATATTATAAAATAGACACATTCACATACCACTCTCTTTCCCTTTCTCTCTCTCTGTTTTTTCTCTCCTTGTCATCAGCTTTAGGAGGACTTTTTCTCATTAGGAATCTATTTTCTGGTATAGGAGGGATCTCTTCTGGACGGACGGTAGAATGGGGCTGCGCATCAAGATTTTCCGCTTCACTTTCACTAGATGGGCTTAACAGGTAAAATCAAAGTAAGTTACATTTGGCTATTATGAACCTACCTAAAATTTCCAGCTGTTAGCATTCTTCTCTTTTTGAATTACATTTTCAGTTAGTGTGTGTATAAGCATGCATGCCATGGCACCCTTTCACTCTGAGAGTCCAGGATAAACTCAGGTCAACAGGCTTGGGGGCAAATGCCTTTACATGCTGAGCCATCTCATCAGCCCAGCAGTTCTTTAATATCAGAATATGTACATCTGCCCCTTTTAAAGATGTCATCATGTGGCAAAAATAAATAAAATTCTTCCTCATTCCCCAACAAATCAACCAGCCAACTCAACTAAACAAAAATCCATTTGCTATCAAACTCTATCTTTCTAAAAGAAAGATCTAAACTATGAGACCCTGTAGGCAATATATTCTGATAAATTTAAAATACAGGGTAGGGCTGGCGATGTGGTTCAGTGGTGGAAAGCACTGGCTGCTCTTCCACAGGGCACAGGTTCAATAGGCAGTACCCACATGGCAGCTCATAACCATCTAACTCTAGTTCCAGGGGATCTGATCCCCTCTTCTGACATTCATGGGCACAGCATGCAAACACCTACAGACAAAAAACAAAATTTTTTACATAAAATAATACAGGCTAAGGAAATCAGTCACTTTAGAGATAAGAGGTATAATTAAGTTTTAATACAAACACATTTCAAACAAAGCAGAAAATAAAATAGTGACTGAATCACCTGCTCTCAATCCATATATACACTGCTCTCAGGGCAGAGAGATAAACAGGACCTGTATATGTACTGCTACAAAATAAGGGACATACCACTGGTTTACTGCAATTCAAAACTGTCTCACAAATCTCTTCAGAATAAAAAATCCAAACCCAGAATGATGTTGTGCACCTGCAACTATTGCTACTTGGGAAGATGTAGTGTAACAGTATCCTCTGAGATTCAAACATTCCATCCTGCAGGAAGCTCCTTAAGCAGGAAAGTAACCACCAACTCAAAATAGCTTCAGGAAGTCTCTGAAACTAACAAGATTGACTGGGCCCTCCCTGCATAAGTAAGCAGAGCCTTGCTGCAAAGAAGACTCTGAGAACAAAGACAAACTACAAAAGATTCTCAGACCATACCTGCTGCCAGAAGCAGCAAAAACTGGCCGAGAGGCCTAGAAGAGGTTTAGATCAACTGAGGCACCTGACCTGGAAAAGACACTCTCCATCGCTGAGCAGCCTGCAGGCTGTGCAGTGCTTCACATTCCCAGCTTTGTGAGCTGTCACCCATGCTGGGGTGGGTTCTGGTGATATGGCTGTCTTTGAGTAATTTCTGCTTCTGTAAGTACCCTCAATACCACTCACAAATTCACCAGTTGGACTCTGGCCTGTTGTGGCCCCTTATCTGGGTGATTAAAGGTATGTGCAAGCATGTGCGTTGCATCTCCCCAGGAAAAGTACTTTCCCACAACAGTGTGAGAGGGTAAAAGGACTATGAATTTGAGGCCAGACTAAAATAAAAAATAAAAGCCCTGTAACAAAAAACCAAATGCTTCATTCCACTGGGAGAACATAAAATTAACTGAGCACTTTTGTTGCACGATTTCATGACACTGGTATAAAATCTATTTTAATGCTCTTATATAAATTAACTTAAAATCTTTATAGGCAATATTAGCATTGTAAAGACCTCTTCTTGCTTTTCTTTCGCTTCTTCTTTTCCTTCTTATGTTTTCGGGAGTTCTTCCTATGTTTCTTTTTTCTTTTACGGGATTTTTCTTCAGAAGCGCTTTCAGAATCCGAAGAATCCGAGGAGGACTGAGAATCACTTGAGCTGTCTGAATCACTGGATGATGACGACGATGATGACTTATGCCTTTTCTTTTCTTCTTTCTTAACTTTAAAAACAAAAAGATTCCACTGAATAATTTTTAGGCACACTTACTTAAAAACAAAACAAAACAAAAGAGACACTACGTAGCCCTAGCTGTTCTGGAACTCACTATGTATATCAGGCTGTACCTCTACCTCTGTACTGGGATTAAAGGTGTGTGCCATTACACCTGGCTAGGTAATCAATTTTTTGAAACTTACTTTGTTATCGTTATCATGTGCTATGATGTGTGTGCCATGGTGAGAGGACAATTTTGCTGAGTTCCACTTTTAGGTAGATTCAGGGACTGAACTTAGGTCACAAGGCTTATATGGCAAGCACCTTTACCCGCTGAGACATCTTGTCAGCTCAGGAAATGATTTTGTTTTTCAAGACAGGGTTTCTCTGTGGTTTTGGTTCCTGTCCTAGAACTAGCTCTTGTAGGCCAGGCTGGTCTCGAACTCACAGAGATCTGCCTGCCTCTGCTTCCCAAGTCCGCCACCACTGTCTGGCAGGAAATAATTTTTTTTAAAGTTTCTGAAAACTTGGAAGCTTTAAAGAACATATTAACCTAAGTAAAGCTTTCAGTTAAGTTATCATATATACTGCATATGAACTTTTCAATAGGTACAATATGACCCATTTAAAGCTGTGCTAATTCAGACTAGGATGTGTTGTGGAATATTTAAGTATGTAAAGATGTGTTACATTTGGTTTTGCTACACTTAAATTAACGATAGAAGAATGTGTTACATTTGTTTATGCTGCATTTAATTAGAAAAGATGCTCTATTCCACCTAACTGAGTAAGGCACTTGATTGGTCTAATAAAAAGCTGAATGGCCAATAGGTAGGCAGAAGAGGAATAGGCTGTGCTGGCAGAGAGAATATACAGGAGGAAAAAAATCTAGACTTAGAAAGAATGAGAGAAGAGAGGAGAGAAGGGGGGGGGGAGTTAAAGAGGGAGATGCACATGGCTAACCAGGCAGCTCACAGCCAGCAGACACCGAGTAGGACGTGCAGAAAGAAACGTTAAAAAAACAGTCAGAGGCAAAAGGTAGATTAAAAATAAATAGGTTAACTTAAGTTAAAAGAGCTAGCCAGAAACAGCCTAAGCTAGGCCGAGAATTCAAAGGCAATAATAAGTCTTTGTGTCATGATTTGGGATCTGGTTGGTGACCTAAAACAAAAACCCTGGTACAAGGATGGATTTGAAAATAAGTACTCAGGCCAGAAATGGGTCAAACACATACATAAGGGGGAATTTCAATAAATTAGCAAACATTAAATAAATACTTAAATCCATTAGTACACGGTGGCATTGATAAATTAAAATATAAATAAATCATTCAGCCTTTCCAATATGATTTCTATCAATTAACAAAGGGATGCTGCTCTTTATCTGAACAGCTCCAGGAGTAAGTGACGAAGGAACTATTGTTTTCTTTTTTTTTTTAAATATTTATTTACTTATTATGTATACAATATTCTGTCTGTGTGTATGCCTGCAGGCCAGAAGAGGGCATCAGACTTCATTACAGATGGTTGTGAGCCACCATGTGGTTGCTGGGAATTGAACTCAGGACCTTTGGAAGAGCAGGCAATGCTCTTAACCTCTGAGCCATCTCTCCAGCCCCCAAAGGAACTATTGTTAAGAGTATCTTTTGGCAACTCCTAATGAGGCACTGAATGAACACCAATTGCAGAGCAGGGAGAAATCAACCCTGTGTGACTTCTAGTCTCATAAAAAAAACAACAACAAAAAACAAACCTGGGGGAGGGAGGGCATGACACAAAACAAAGCTGAACCTAATCAGTTTTCTAGGTTGACACAGAAACACAAAACCATGTAAAGTACACTTAGAAGAAATATTACATGAAAAATTGAAAGCTCCTGCCCTCAAATGAGCCTACATCTCAACTTCCCAAGTAATTGGGACTACAGTTATGCCTGCCACAAACTAACAACAAAAAAAATCCAGTCTTTACAACCAATCTCAATGTTCAAACCTTATTTAAGTCCAGATTCAAAAAACAACAAAATTATTATTGATCCAACAGATCTGAATGAACAATGCCAAGTTACACATGGGGTATGTGTGTAAAATCATGGCACTAGAGCTATCTTTATAAAGAGTCACTTCTTAGGAGAAAAAGCAAAATTATCTGTTGATAAATTGTACATCTGGAATTTGCTTCAAACAGGAAAACAGTTGAGAGTAATGACTCATACATATCTGAGTTTGAGTCTAGCCTGGCCATACAGCCAAATCCTGCCTTAAAAGTACAGGTCAGTCATCCTTTCATGATAAAGGTCTTGAGAAAGCAGGGATATAAGGAACATACCTAAACATAATAAAAGCAATATACAGCAACCCATCAGCCAACATCAAACTAAATGGAGAGAAACTCCCAGCGATCCCACTAAAATCAAGAACAAGACAAGGTTGTTCACTCTCTCCATATCTATTCAATATAGTTTTTGAGGTCCTAGCTAGAGCAGTAAGACACCAAAAGGAGATCATGGGGATACAAATCGGAAAAGAAGTCAAACTCTCACTGTTTGCTGATGATATAAGTTTACATAAGAGACCACAAAAATTCTACCAAGGAACTACAACTCATAAACACTTTCAGTAATGTAGCTGGATACAAGATTAACTCAAAAAAATCAGTAGCCTTACTGTACACAGATGATAAAAGGGCTGGGAACAAAATCAGAGAAACATTACCCTTCACAAAGGCCACAAATAGCATAAAATATCTCGGAGTAACTCTAACCAAACAAGTGGGAGACTTATATGACAAGAACTTTAAATCTTTGAAGAAAGAAATTGAAGAAGACACCAGAAAGATCTTCCATGCTCTTGGGTAGGCACAATTAACATAGTCAAAATGGTAATCTTACCAAAAGCAATCTACAGATTCAATGCAATGCCCATCAAAATCTCAGCAAAATTCTTCATAGACCTCAAAAAAACAATACTCAACTTCATATGGAAAAGCAAAAAACCCAGGATAGCCAAAACAATCCTGTGCAATAAAAGAACTTCTAGAGGCATCACAATCCCTGACTTCAAACTCTACTACAGAGCTATAGTAATGAAAACAGCCTGGTACTGGCATAAGAACAGACAGGAGGACCAATGGAACCAAATCAAAGATCCAGATATCAATCCACACATCTTCGAACACCCGATCTTTGATAAAGAAGCAAAAAATATCAAATGGAAAAAAGAAAGCATATTTAACAAGTGGTGCTGGCATAACTGGCTATCAACATGTAGAAGAATGAAAGTAGACTCATATCTATCACCATGCACAAAACTCAAATCCAAATGCATCAAAGACCTCAATATAAAGCCAGCCACACTGAACCTTATAGAAGAGAAAGTGGGAAGTACACTTGAAAGCATTGGCACAGGAGACCACTTTCTAAATATAACCCTAGCAGCATTAATTGAGAGAAACAATTAATAAATGGAACCTCCTGAAACTGAAAAGTTTCTGTAAAGCTAAGGACACAGTCAATAAGACAAAACGACAGCCTACAGAATGGGAAAAGATCTTCACTAACCCCACATCAGTCAGAGATCTGATCTCCAAAATATACAAAGTTTTAACTCAAGAAACTGGTCATCAAAAGAACAAATAATCCAATTTAAAAAAAATGGAGTGCAGACCTAAACAGAAAACTCTCAACAGAGGAATCTAAAATGGCTGAAAGACACTTAAGGAAATGCTCAACATTCTTAGTCAGAGAAATGCAAATCAAAACAACTCTGAGATTCCATCTTACATCTGTAAGAATGGCCAAGATCAAAAACACTGATGACAACTTCTGCTGGAGAGGTTGTGGGGAAAAGGGAACACTTCTGCATTGCTGGTGGGAATGCAAGCTGGTACAACCCCTTTGGATGTCAGTGTGGCGATTTCTCAGAAAACTAGGAAACAACCTTCCTCAAGACCCAGTAATATAACTTTTGGGCATATATCCAAAGATGCTCAATCGTGTCACAAGGACATTTGCTCAACTATGTTCACAGTATCATTGTTTGTCATAGCCAGAATTTGGAAACAAACNAACCGACATCTTGAATTTTGCAGGAAAATGGATGGAGCTAGAAAGCATTATTTTGAGTGAGGTAACCCAGACATAGAAAGACAAGTATCACATAATTCATAAGTGGTTTTTAAACATAAAACAAAGAAAACCAGACCACAAATCACAATCCCAGAGAACTTAGACAACAATGTGGACACTAAGAGAGACTTACATAAATCTAATCTACATGGGAAGTAGAAAAAGACAAGATCTCCTTGGGATAGGGTTGAAGGGGGAAGGGGAGAGGCAGGGAGGGGAGCAGAGAGAAATGTAGAGCTCAATAAATATCAATTAAAAAAAAGTAAAAAAAGAAAACCACATGAGGGGGGAAAAAGAGGCAGAACAAGGATAGGAAGATAACAAATTTGAGGACATTCTGACTGCAGAGTGAGTTCTCGTCTCAAAAAACAGAAGCAAAACATGGCCAAAGGAAAATATCAACACTCAAACTTTCATTGGTGATATATCAAAAAAAGAAAACAAAAGTGGTGATTGAGTTTTACTTAGACTAAATTGTTAAGAAATAAAAAATAAGTAATAACACTGAAAAATACCAGAAGTTTGCTCATGAAAATAGCAGGAGTTTTTGCTCATGAAATTATCAGAAGTAGTATAGCTTATACTGTTTGTATGTGCCTATAAAGGTATTCAGTCAAGTAAAGTTTACTTAGTATGCAGACAAGATTATCCATAAGCAAAATTTCCTAAAACATCATATGCACTAGAACAAATGCACATTTTTAAAACAAACATTCTAGCAGATGTGACCTATATTAGAATGTGAAACAGAGGTTGCACAGGGCATGTTGATGCTTATCTTTAAACCCATCACTTGTGTGTGTAAATCTCTGTGAATTACAGGCCAGCCAGGGCTACACAGACAGATCTAACCTCACCCCCCCCCCCCACCCAAAGAGGTTGAAGAAAGTAGTAGAGAATAATTATCTGCAGAGCACATACAAAATGATAAACATTGTGCAAAATTCTTTCCAAGTATAATTTACTTACTGTATACTGTGGTTATGGTACCTTGTATATGGCTTCTGAGGAACCAAAACTGAAGTTGTAGTGACATAGACACGTATGTGCAGGAACACACATACACAATTAGAAAAAAAAGTAACAGCACAAAATATAACTAATCCCACAAAGCCTTCATGCTTTATATACACTTCATTAAGAATTTTATGCCAAAGATTTAGAATCTTTCTGCTTATTTGAACAAGAATCCCCTAAAACATGGACCTGCTCTTACCTTTAGACTTTGGGATCAGTTCACCACAACTGAGTATCCGCACCTCAGCAAACGGCTTGCTAGCAGCATCTGTCTTCTGGTTTTCAATCTCTCTGACAACTTCTTGGCCAGAGATCACTTGCCCAAAAACAACATGATGCCTACAGTGTTAAGTAAAGATGTCTAATAAATAAAACCTTCTTACTTTAATAGCAACAAAGTTGTTGTGAAATATTAAAATATGTTGTAAAATATTAAAAACTTTACCCATCTAAATGAGGAGTTGGTTTCGTTGTTCTTTCGGAAGTCATCAGATATAAGAATAAAAAACAAAAGAGACAAAGTTAGCATCTCTAAAAAGAAAAACAGTGCATGGAAACAAGAAATTGTGTTACCATTACACAGCAGAACCTCATGAGTGCAAAGGATTTTCCACACAATTAAAAAAAACACTTGTTCTGAATATAAAAGCAGTGACTACTTATTATTAACCTGCATGTAATTAACATTTGGTATTATTTCTATCCAGCCGTATTTCTTAAATGTAAATGGGTTTCTTAAGTACTCCTGATTGTATGATGTTCTACTGTATTGATATTACCAAAATTTACCAGATCATTCTACTAGCTTACGGGTTTAACAGCAGTGCTTTTCACCCTAACATTTAACAGTTAAAGTGGAGGGTATTAGAGGACTTAAGGTGGGAACAGTCACTGTTTGTGGCCCTGAAATGTATTTGTTGAACCAGTATAGAAACAGTCCACTGTTTCTATACTGTATAACAGTATAGAAAAGTCTCATACATTTAAAAATTAACTGCCAATATTTAACTGTGGATTCTTTTGAATGAAAACCCAAGTTCCAGAGCTCTCGGAGTATCTAAAAATCATGGCACCTAGCACACAGTAAGTGACTAGTGCTCAGTGTTCCTGCTAAAGAGTCCATGTTCAAACAAGTTTACTTAAGGAACTTGCCTTCACCAGACAATCTGTGATATAAAGAAAAATTCTGTGTTGAAGAAAAGTAGCGTTAAAACAGGTCAAGTCCAAATAAGAACATGATGGTACATGTACCGGGGGAAGATGGAGGATAACTTGAACCCAGAAGTTCAAAGAGCCTTGAGCATGAGATTCTTTCAAACCAAACTCACCCAAAACTAAAGCATTTTTTGTTCAATGGAATTTTTGCAAGCCCTGCCCTCAACTCCTTTTTATTCCCAAAGTCAAACTTAAAATGATGTATTTAGAAGCCTGGTACATGGTTATGTACCAGAGACGTGGCACAAAATCTCTCACAACTACAGAAAGTCCTTGGTGTACAGCATTGAGTTTGATCCCTAGCACCCACACAAAGAGCTGGGTATAGCTGAGTGGTAGTGACACACACCTTTAGTTCTAGCACCCGGGGGGTAGAGAGAGGCTGAATTCTGTGAGTTTGAGGCCAGGGTGGTCTACAGAGCGAATTCCAGGACAGCAGGGCTACACAGAGAAACCCTGTCTTAAAAAAAAAAAAAAAAACCCCAAAACAACAAAACAAAACAAATGAAAGCCAGGTACGGTGGTGGATGGTGCCCCAGTTTGTCCTCTGACAGGAGAATGCTGTTAAGCCACCTCTCCTACTTTTCTTGGCGAGCTCTACCATCTGAGGTCTTTAGTAACTGGTTCTAATATCCCCCTTAGTAATTCTTTGTTTCACCTCTCTCACAATTTTTCTCTTATAATGGCAATGGGGAAGATTAGAAGGGATACTTTAGACCTTAAATACTTACATGAAGAACTGTGAGCCATTTGTATCCTTCCCTCTGTTGGCCATTGATAAGAGAAATTCTTTGTTGTGTTTAACAGCAAAACTTTCATCTAAAGAAAAGAAAAATTTTCAGTTATGTTAGAAGCATAAGCTCCAAAACACTTATTTTAGAGGCTGGCAAGATGGCTCAGTGGTTAAGAAGTTTGTTGTACAAACATGAGGACCCAACTTCAGATCCCAGGATCCAACCATGTAGAAGACCAAATTGACTACTGAACACCTGTAAGCTCAGTGCTGTGGGAGGCAGTAATAGAACTGCTGGGCTTGCTGGCTGATAGTTTAGCTTGAGGCTAAGTGACAGACCCTGTCTAAAGGAATAAGGCAGAATAACAGAACCCTGATGTCTTCCTCTATTCTGTACACATGTGCAAATGTTCCTATTTGCTACACTTGTACACATACATCACACTCAAAAAAAATTCATTTTTCACTCCTGTTCATAACAGAAATGTTCCTGTTTATTTGAGACAAGGTCTTGTTATTTAAGCCAATTTGGTCTCCAAATCCTTCCTCAGCCTCCCCAGTGCTGGTATTACAACCATTGCTACCATGCCTGGCTGTAAGTGTTCATTACTGTCAAACACAACACCAACAACGAAGTAGGTTACGAAGGAAGAAAGAAGCAATTATGAACCTAATTTTTTCCTCTCTATATTTTTAGATTTAACACTAATTTTTCCTCCCGGCATAAAGGATGAACTCAGTATCCCATGCACGCTAATCAAGCACACTATCACTGAGTCTAAAGTACATAAAATTTCTATGCCTTGCTTGCCTATCATGCACAAGGCCTGGGATTTGATCCCAGAACTGTACTAAAAATAAACAGCAATACAGTAAGAGTCCAGACAGGATTCTTTTACAGTTTATCCATTTCAATGTGATATGCATATCATGGATAAACATCAGTCTAGACTCAACTTCACCTTCACCATAGCATTATTTACTTCAATGGAAAGAGCTTGTCTTCCAATCCTTGATTAGAGAATGCAAAAAAGTAAGCGAAATTTGAGATAATATTCTCCTGAATACCAAAAGTGAAACATAAAACCCATTAAGTTATTTCTACTTATCTGCCTTTAGTTGTATGAAAACTCAAGGTCCAGACCTACTATAATTTATGAGTAAAAAATACTAAAAACCATTTAGTGCTCTTCCAGAGGATCCAGGTTCAATTCTCAGCACTCATATGGCAGCTCACAACTGTCTGTTACAGGGGAATCTGACAACTTCACATCAAATCACATAAAAGTTAAATAAGAAAGAAAAACAATTTAGATGTATAAATTTTACCTTCAAAGAATCCTCCATAAATAGATTCTCCTCCTCTTCCATTCCCTAGAAATGAAAAAAAAAATCACTCTTAGATCTCAGGATAGTAAATTCAGCCAAACACTTCTCATCAATTCTGAATCAGTAACACTCAAAGGACTATAACAAATTATAAGACATCAATATAATGCCAATAACAAGATCGGAAACTGCCTTTCTCCTATGATACTACAGTAAGAATACGACAAGTTGCCAGGCTGCGGTGGCGACACCTTCAGTGAGTTCCAGGACCCCTACAGAGAAACCCTGCTCCCCTCACAAAAAAAGCCAGGTGGTGGTAGTGTATGCCTTTAATTCCAGCACTCAGGAGGCAGAGGCAGGAGGATCTCTGTGAATCAGGAGGCCAGTCTGGTTTACAAGAGCTAGTTTCCAGGACAAGCTCTAAAGCTACAGAGAAACCATGTCTCGAAAACTGGAAAAAAAAGGGGTGGTGGTGGGGTGGGGTGGTGGTGCTGAAGAGAAAGCTCCAGTGGTTAAGAGCTCTGGGTTCAATCCCCAGCACCAACATGGCAGTTTACAACTGCTTTTCTAACACCAGTTCCAGGAGATCTGACACCCTCACAAAGACATGCAGGAAAAAAAACAACAATGCACAAAAACAAAAAATAAAAAAAAAAGTATGTTCTTTAAAACAAACCAAAACTAACAAGCCTATTAAGATTCATGGGAAAAGACGCAGGGTAAAGGTGCCTGTCACCAATCTGAGAGTTCAATCTGTGGGACCCACATGGTGGAAGGAGAAACTTTACCCTGCAAACTGTTTTCTAACTCCACATACCATAGCACATCAGCACCCACAATAAATAAATGTTAAAAAAAATCTATGGGGAAAAGATCTGTCAAGTGAGTATACAAGTCTCTTAATAAAATAACACTTTTTCATAGTGCCCTTAAAAATAATATTGTTTTTCCAGGTGATTGTGATGCACACCAGCACACAGGAGGCAGTGGCAGGCAGATCTCCATGAGTTCAAGGCCAGTCTGATCTACAGAGCTAGTTTCAGGACAGCTACAAAGAAACATAGATAAAATTGAAGAAAAAAAAAAAAAAACCCAAAAAACTAGAGAGAGTACTTCAAGCTGTGCAAAAGTCAAATTCATATGGCAGATTTAGAGGCTATAATGTTTGTTTTGTGTTGAGAAGCAAATTAATTCATACACAGATACAACTGGTCCCGAGGCACAGCTGAGCAGCACCTAACTAGCATAGACAAGGCCCTGGGCTTACTCCCCAGCACTGGAGTAAAAGGGGAAATTCCCTTCTCTGTTTTCATCTTTTCTATATTTCTGTGAGTATTCCTATGTGCTTCACCAAAGACTTCAATGGAGTAAGAAGAAAACCAAACTAAAACTTCCATATGGAGCTGAAAAAATGGCTTGGCAGGTAAAAGCATACTGTTCTCACAGAATCCCTGAGTTCAGTTCCCGGCTCCCACGTCAGGCAGCTCACAACAGTCTAATAACTTCAACTCTAGAGGATCTGACACCTTTGGTCTCTTCAGGCACTTGCACTCTGGTACAAACACAGTTAAAAACTAGTAAAGAAGTCATAAAAATAAAGATCCTTTATGGGCTGCAAGACTGCTTAGTGGAAAAAGGGCACTCACACTTCCAAGTACGACAACCTGAGCTCGATCCTTAGAACCCATATAGTGGAGAGGACAGACTCTTAATATAAATTGTTTTCTGATTTCCATGTCCTGTTCAACATGCACAACAAAAAACACCCAAAACCTTTATGTTAACCAAAACATAAACGTGTCTTCTCTTCTGTGGGACTCAAAGTCTCACCTTCACTGAAGTCACCACCCTGAACCATGAAATCCTTGACAACTCTGTGAAAGAGACAGCTCTTATAATGTAATGGCTTCTGAGTTGATTTCCCTGTCCCCTTTTCACCTGGAAAAAGAAACATTCATAGGTCAACGAGAAGAAAAGACTGAAGTACTACAAAAGCCTCTATTTTTCTGAAGAACACAGAAATCAATCACAAATAAATACTATTACAGCTAATATTTATTTTTTAATTTGTTAGTTAACTTGGATTTTTGAACCCAGGTCTCAGTATGTAACTCAAGCTGGCATTACACTCACAACACCCATCTCAGCTTCCCAAAGGCTGAGTCTACAGGAGTACAAATCACACCTTGCCTATGGCCCAGACTGGCCTTGAATTCATGCTCTTGACTCAGCCTGGGTTCTGGCATTTTATGTATTCGTCCACATGCAGGTCTCACAGCTAATATTTCTAGGAATTATTAGGGCAATTGAAAATGAAAACAAACCTGTACAAAGACAACGAAAATTCTCACACGTTTTGGGACATACATCAGAAAATAATTCAAAGACAACTCTTCCAGCTGAAAGAGAAAGTAATTGGTTTAAATGTCTTGATTACAATTTTAAAGACTAGTATGAAAATGTTAATTAAAAACATTAATATTCTTACCAGGTTGATTATTAATGGCAATGTCAAAAAAACATCGAGGACGCTGGACCTTTATTCCCATGGTTCCAACACTTCAGTCTGTAAGTGTATATGATACAGTTTCAGGCAAGCAGACTAAAATAGCAAAGATTTTCCATTAATATATAAAAGTCAATTCTACTGCACATAAGTTACAAATGTAATTTGAATTTATTTTCCATTTGTTTCCATTGGGTAACTCATAACTTTTAGAGATTAGACTGTACTTTGAGGAAAATAAAAAAGACTTTAAAAGGTTAAATTAATTACTGGGCAGGAGTCGTGCTAATCTCTATTATTCCAATTTTAGTAAATGTGCTCCTGAAGAGAGCATAGTCATTATAATATAATAAATTTCTTTTTTTGGTTTTTCAAGACAGGGTTTCTCTGTAGCTTTGGAGCCTGTCCTGTAACTCTGTAGACCAGGCTGCTCTCAAACTCACAGGTATTCACTTGCCTCTGCCTCCTGAGTGCCAGGATTAAAGGCATACGCCATTACCACCAGCCATCATTATAATATAATAAATCTCTATTTTACCAACCAAATCCAGAGTGCCACCCCATAGAGAAAACTGTATTAAGTATGTATAACTAGTGAACAGAATATGAACATTGTCTTTAGGTTGGGGGAAACAAACAATAAAAAACAAAACCCACCAAGGACAACTGAGCCAATCCTTTTGCTCCTAGGAAACAAAAAATGAGAGCTCTAATTAAAATTTGAGATAGTAAGGAAAAATATTCAAATTTCCCAACAAAGCCAAAATAAATCATCTATGAAGAAAAGGAAGAGGTTTTTGTTTCTGAGGCAAAATCTTACTCTGTAGCTCTGGCTAACTTGGTACTCACTATGTAGCGCAGGCTGGTCTCAAATTTGAGGCAATCCACCTGCCTCAGAATCCCCAGTGCTGAGATGACAGGTGTGTACCACTACACCTGATCTGGAAGGGTAGTATTTCAATGATACTAATATATGGTAGAGAGAATTCTGACCAAAAGCGCATTAAATTTTACATGAGGCAACTTGTGATCAAGAGGAACAAACAGCCTATGACAGGCATACTAATGTGTGAGATACCATGTAGACAGCTTTATCTACAGCAGGTACCTTTTACTGACATTCTCCTTGTAAACCACTGATTTTAAGGACTTAGAGTGTCCAATTATAATCTTGGTAAGGGATGACACAGTAAGGTGAAGGGCAGATGTTATCCAGCAAGTACTGAGCAACAGCCAAGCTAACAGACCAAACACTTTAGTCAAAAAAGACTAAAACACTTGTTTTTACTTAAATTATCACAACTAGATTTCTAAGGTGTCTCAGCAAACAGTCTATGACAATTCATTGTAAGCAGAGCCCTGAAAAGTCTGCATTCTTTACTATGAAAAGATTCTTCCTTTTTGTTTTTTTTTTTTTTTTTTTTGTGCTGGGTACATGCAACCTAGGGCCTCACACTGAGTTATACCTCTGCATACCTTGGCTGAAATTTTTAATTGAGACAATAGTAGATTTACATCTATTACAGAAAATAACTGAAGGATGGGCATGCATGGTGGCACAAGCCTTTAGTCGAAACATTGGGGGACTAAAGTCAGGATAACATAATGGTAGTCTTTTTACTCTCCTTTAATTCCAGCACTCAGGAGGAAAAGGCACATGGATCTCTGTGAGTTTAGGGCTGGCCTAGTCTACATGGTTTTGCAAGACACCCAAAGCTAAATAATGAGACCCTGTCTCAAAATAAGACAAAAACACTTAATTAACAATGGTGACACAAAAGATGGCTTATATACTATGTCTCTAAAGTTATTAAATGGAGTTGAGAGATGGTACAGTGGTTAAGAACTTTTCAAGAGAACCGACGTTTGAATTCCAGAATTCATATGGTGGCTCCCAACCATCTGTTAACTCCAGTTCAAGGGGACCTAATGCCCTCTTTGACCTCTACAGACACTGCACACACATATATGTAGGCAAAACACCCACACATACAAAATAATGTTTAAAATAAATAAAATTACTAAGACGCTGTTACTAATCATCACTAAAGACTTAACAATTGCTAGTCATAAATAGGATGTTTCCTCTACATTTATGACTCTCAAATATTACTTAATATTACCTAAAGTCTGAAATAGTAAGACAAATATTTAATCAGTATCTCATTTTTTTTCGAGAAAAAGATTATTAAGATAGAAATTTTAATTTAAAGAAAAATTGAGTCCATAAAAATTTCAAAATATTGTTCATTCAATCCTGTGCTCCCAGCACTCCAGAGGGTTTTCTGTCTAAAACAAATAGCAAGATCCATTTCAGGAGGGAAAAATTAGTCACCAATTGTCTCAGAATATGATCAAATCTTTTGTGAATATATATTTGTCACAAATTTGCTTAGCCTGAATGAATTATAGCTAATATCATAAACCCAGATTTGAATTTTTCTGAAAAATAATTACCACACCTGGGACAGTGTCCCATTTTTGTACAGCCGTCAGTATATACTGCTCCCATTAGATGAATGCATGTTCCAGTTTTACCTTGTTTCCAATATTGCTTATGAACTGTAACCGTTTATCATATACTTGATATTATAAACTCACTATGCCTACCTGACTTCCACAGAAATTTGAGTGACACTGAATTTACTTATTTTTTTATTAGATTTTTTTTTTAAGGCAGGGTCTCCCAATGAAGCTCAGGCTAAACTTCAACTTTCAATCCCCCTGCTTCTGCCTCCTGTACTGTGATTACAAGAGTGCACCATGAAACCTGGCATGGAAATACTTTTAAAATAAGAAATAAAGTCGGTAAGTTCACACACAACACAAAACCTAGTTATACAAATACATACAAAGTCCTAACTATAACTGTTACCATTTGTATTACTTTACTTTCCATGCAAATGATTAAAATATTATTTAAAGCGTTTATTAATCATTTTGCATGTCACCAATAAATAATATTTATAAAACAAAATGCTAAACTTCCTCAAATATATTTCAGAAACATCACTGAGTGGTCACAAATTCATTTTGCAGTTTCATATGTAAACAGATTTCCATATTCACCCTAATGAGTCTTTAAGCCTAAAGTATATAGGCAACCAATTACTAGCCAGTATTTTAATTAGGTAATAAGTAATGTAGTGACTTTATCACATTCAAAGAGTTATCTGAAGTTTCAGAGTCAGCATTACATTGAGTCTCACTCTTAAAGGAACAGACAGCGGATTTTTTAAAATGATTAAGATGTCAACCAAGTCTTTCTTTGCACCTTCTCATTCTTCTGGTTATATGTTTCTTAAGATTCAATTTGGCGGGGCTGGAGAGATGGCTCAGTAGCTAAGAGCACCAGGTGCTCTTCCAGAAAACCTGGGTTCAACCCCCAGCACCCACACGGCAGCTGACAACTGCCTCTAACTCTAGTTCCAGGGGATCTGGCATCCTCACACAAACATACATGCAAGCAAAACACCATGCACATTAAAAAAAAAAAAGATTCAGTTCAACCACAGTACTCTGGGACTCACTCTTCAAGTTGAATGGTCCTTCCTCAGTGAAAATTATAAACTCATCTATAAATTCCACTAAATCAAAATCTTTTTGTTTTTTGGGCTGGTTTCACAAAATTTTTTTCTTAAAAATTTTGAGACACAATCTCCCATAGTTGTCAAAGATGGCCTGGAATACACTCTTTGGCCTATGCAAGCCACAAACTTAGAATCTTCCTGACTCAGTTTTTCAAGTACTTGAAATTATATGTGCCACAAGTCCCTGCTAAAACTTTGTCTTCTACACAAAGCACAATGCCTGGGCCAGGAACTTCATCATCAAATAGAAATGTTAGATAATGCAAATATGCCTGAAAGCACTTGTGTTCTGTTGTTAGCTTTTATTTTTATTTTTTGTTTACATTTTTAAAATATAATTTATTTAATTTTATGTGCATTAGAGAGTATCAGATTCCCTGTAACTGAGTTACAGACAGGTGTGAGCCATGTGGGTGCTGCGAATGTTTGAACCCGGGTCCTCTGGAAAGACAGCCAGTGCTCTTAACCACTGAGCCATCTCTCCAGCCTTTTATTTTTAAAGATCGTTTTATGTTACCTGGGCTGGCATCTTATTTACTATGTAGTTTGAGAATGACATTAAACTCTTGATCCTCCTGCCTCCACCTCTTAATTGCTGGAGTGACAAGTGTGTACCAAAACACCCAGACAGAGCTTGTGTTTTCTATAGCCTGCACTGCTCTCTCCTTATACGTGTGTGTGCTTCTCACAAGAGATACTGCTATTACTGACTCTCCCAGGGTCCACCAGTAGTAATTAGCAGTCTGTACCGATAATGAAATTGAGTCTGCTCCCTACATCTTCCTATTGGGATGCTCTCTGTTTAAGTGCTTTGTTGTTGTTTTACCATTTCTTTCCTTTTTCACTTCTTCAGCTCAAAACCTGATAACAAGAAAAATAATATGTTCTTAACAGCTAGGCTTATTTTTTAAAATTTATAATTTCTTGTTTTGAGACAGGGTCTCTTTATGCAGCTCTGACTATCCTGGAACTTGAGCTGACCTAGAACTTAGAGATGCACATGCCTCTGTTGGGATAAAAGGTGTGCAACAGCACACCCTGCATCTGCTGTTTGTTAACAACTAATAACTTTCTTATAGGACTCAGGTAAGTTAATCAAAACTATTTCAGATCTTTAAGACTGTGTCTTTTATAAATGCACTTTTAAAAAATTATGACACTTTATAAACCAAAAAGAAAAACAACACACTATTTCATTCACAATGACAATATAATTGTGGAAGTGCAACCACTCTTTGTTACCATGTTCTGTAAGCCCTTAATGGCATAAAACATTGCATTTATAAGCAGTACACTTAAAACTACTATCTCCTTTTTTTTTTTGACATTCTAAAAGAGAAATATGTTAAATGTGGTGGGTGGGATACACGAAATGAAATGTCATTCATGGAAAAATTCTGGATATCAATGTAATGACCTAGAAATTTTTAATTTTTTAAAGTAAAATTTAAAATAAATAACTCACTAAAAAAAACTGAACAACTTTTTAACTGTAGCACCTTTAAAAAACTTTATCTTGTTTAATTTATAGTGTATAAATTATGGTATTTGTGAAAAATATGTGGGATAATAATAGTCTTGTACACTGCAAAGATTTGTCATTCGTATTGGTTTAATAAAACGTTGATTGTCCAGAAGCCAGGCAGGAGTATAGGCAGGGCAACCAGGCTAAGAGAATTCTGGGAAGAGGAAAGGCAGAGACACAGACACCAGACAGATGCAGAGGAAGCAAGGGGAGAATGCTTTACTGAGAAAAGGTACCAAGCCACATGGCTAAACACAAACAAGAATTTGGGTGAATTTAAGTCATAAGAGTTAGTTAGTAATAAGCCTGAGCAATAGGCCAAACAGTTTATAATTAATATAAGCCTCTGTGTGTTTACTTGGGACTGAACGGCTGCAGGACCGGGTAGATTCTGTCTATAGGGACTGGTGAGTTGACTCAGCCATTATGGGCACCTGTTGCTCTTACGGAGGACTAGGTTCAATTAACAACACCCACATGGTGGTTGATCCAGGGGATCTGGAGTGCCAGGTAATCTGACATACTCTTCTGGGGCACCAGGCACACATGTGGTACACATGTATACATGCGGGTAAAACATTCAGTGCACATAAAAATTCTAAAAAAGAAAATTATGTGCATATAAACATAAAGCCAATACTCTAATTACTGATTAGTGCCACGTTGTAAACAAGTTTTCAGAAACATTAACATCTAGTAATGAGTACCATTATTTTGTGTTTTCCACATTGACATTTTTTTCGAACTTTGGCATTTATTTATTTAACAGGGGGAGGGCACACGCCATGCACATGTGTGTAGATCAGAGGACAACTTAAGGGAATTGGTTTTTCTCCTTCTACTATGTAGGTTCCAGGGATAGAACTCAGGTCCTTAGATTTGGAGGTTTTTACCTGCTGAACCATTTTCAGTCTTCTGAATTACTTCTAGGATTACATCCAAGGAGGACTAAGTTTTGAATACAAAGAGAAGGGACCCTTTGGAACAGTTTTAATATTTTTTAAAAATTTAATTAATTTTTTGAGAATTCCATACATAAGTATTATATTTAAAAGTTTCTATCTCTCCCTCTCCATGTCTTCCCACAATTTCTCTCAAACCATAACTTCTGTATTATTGTTACACACACACACCCCACTGAGTGCGTTCAGCGTCGCTCATACGTGCATATGTTTCAGGACTATTTGGGGCTCATCTCTGAGGACAACTTACTCTCCCTTTCTCAGCAGTCATCTTCATCTACGGTTAGTCTTCCCCATCCATACTGGCATGTCAGCTGGTGCTGCTATTATGGAGGTCTTACTTAGATAGTAATACTGGAGATTTCTTGTTGTTTCTTGCATTTAATCTTTCCTATCAGGTCTCGAAGACACTATCTTGAAGTTTAGATATTAATTGTCCTCCAAGGACCAAATGTTAATTAAAGGTTTGGTTGCCAGTCTTTAGGATTACTGGGAGATAGTGGATCTTTTAGGAGCCTGGGACTAACGAAATAAAGTTGGGTAACTGGAAGGGAGTCCCTGCAGGTAGTATTGGGACAGCCCCTCCACCCTCTGTTTTCTGGACTCCAAGAGGAAGACGTTTTTGCTCTACTGTGTATTCCCCACCATCCCACCATGTAATGCCTTGTCACAAGCCCAAAAACAATCGGGCAGCCATGGACTAAAGCCTCCACAACTAAGTAAAAATGTATCTCTTTCTTTAAAAAGATACCTGCAAGGGAATTATACTGGCTTCTTTAGCTCCCTCTTAAAAGTATTCACATGGAGCAAATAATAAACGAAAATTAACTCAAAACATTTGCATACATTTATGAATATATGCACTGCTGATGAATTAAGTAAAACAAGTCAACAACTTGTCAGGAAAGACACCTATGCTCTTCCAAATAGTACTGTTCTCTTTAATGTCTTTGCTATACTCAAACCACTGCAGTTGAAACACAACACTTCAACAGGCATCTGTAAACTGGGGGCTTAGTGTGTGGCCAGTGGTCCAGCACTTGCCTCACAGATGGTCTTGGTACACACAAACACAAGGACAAGGGCTAGGAATACAGCTCAGTGTGGTAGAGTACATGCCAACAATGCCACCAATCCAAAACAAAGCACGAAATTTTCCCTATCAGTAAAACACAAAGTTCCAATTAAAGTAGCTTTCTCTGAATATTTAAGTACAAAATACTGCCTGCAAATCTCAAGGTCCAAATTTTGGCTTATAGGAAGAAAAATTGTTTTTGCAGAAGCCACATTCACCCCAACCCACCTAGGGAGCAAGCGCGACAATCAATTCAAATAAGCATTAAAGCAACTGTTGAGCCATTAAACAGGAACGTAAACTCTTGCAGAAATAATTACAACCCACTTAATAAAATTAATGAGTGGGGTCCCTCAGTCCCTAAGAAAATGATTTGTTTGTCTGAGGTAAGAGTCTCATCAAGTTGTTCAGGCTGGCCTTGAACGATGACCCCTTTCTAGAGTGTGGAATTATGGGCGTTTTGAAGCTCTATCTCAGAAGTTAAACTTTTAGGTTTGTTTTAAAAAAAAAAAAACTATAGAAGCAGCAACCATTCTAAGTATCTGTGCAATTTCTGGATTTGATGGCAATCTTTTAAAACTTGTAAGACGTTTACTCTTCCAGTAACTCTTACAAAAGGGCAATTACTCGTCAGCATTCTTTACACAATGCGGGTGACAGAAACACAAGCATTATTTTATCCTTTCCGGTCTTAGCTTCTCAAAGTTCATATGGAACTTCCGTATTTCCAAAACATTCTATTATTTTTTCAGACTCACGGGTGACCCAACACAAACAAAAAGAGATCCTTGCAGTGCACCGAATGCGCTCATATACGCTAAGGGGGGGAAAGCAAGCGGCGTGCGCAAGGTCGTGCTTGTCAGGTTCCCCAAAACGATCAGACACGGCCGGCGGCTAACGTTGACTTCTCTTCGACATCAGAGTAAAAACAGCAGGGCCCAAAGCAGGACGTTTCTCCGAAAGGCGAAGCGGCTCAGAAACCATCTTCTAAGCGCAACGCTCCTCCCCAAAGGCCCGGCCGCTGCCAGCTGCTCGGGAACGTGGGAAAACTTCTAGAGAGCCAAGGCTAAGAGCCCGCGCTTGAGTTTTAGGAGAATCCTTAACATCAGGGGCCTGTGTCACTTAGGCACGCACGACCGCCGCTGTCCCTACCTGAGGAGAAGGTCGGAGGACGGCAGCTCGCTGTCGATTTTATTCCCGGGGACTCTGGCTCTGCGCCCGTCCCTCCCTAACCCTAACCTGACAGGCCCTCGCGCGGCGCCTCCCCGTCCCCCACGCAGATGTCCCACCTACCGTAGCGCAGAAGCGCTCGGTCTCCCGGTGGAGAAGCAGCATCCAAAACGCACCTAGCTCCCGGGAGCCGAGGCCGCCGTCGCTGCCGCCATATTACAGCCTGTGCGGCAAAATGCGTCAGGGAGGAGGTGTGCGCCGGGCGGGGAGGGCGGGGGCTGGAGAGGAAGAGCGCTTTCCTGCGCCCCGGGGCTCCACTGCCAGCCGTCCCGGTCGCCACGGGACCGCAGGCCGCGCCTCTGTCCCCGGGGCCACCCCTCGGCGCCCCCACAGCCCGGAGACCTCGACGGAAAGACGGTTACCTCGGCCCGGCCGCCCGCCCGCCCGGCCGCCGCGGCTCCGCCCCTCGCCCTGGGCCCTTCCCGCTCTCGTACCCGGGGATCGCTGCAAGTGACGCCACGCCGACGGACGCCTTCGCGCCTCTCACCTGCACCGCCACCGACGTCTCGTCTCCCGGCCCGGCCCCCGTAAAGCGCTTCAAATCTACCGCCGTCAGGAAAGGCGCTAAAGCCCACTAACCGCCTCCCTCCCCCACGGCCCAGTCCAGGCGTGGAGGGAAAGCGTCGCGCCGGAAGTGCGTCAGGGGTGGGTTGAAGGCGTCTCCCGGCGTTCCCTGCCTTACGTCACCATCTTCTCCTTGAGAGTGTAGGCTCTTTTAAGCCTTTCTAAATACATGCCTGACAGGTAGCATAAGGTTCTCTGCGAGTTGATTGGGTAAGTGTGTCTCCGTCAGACTGTCACAGCGCTCTCGAAATGAAGCACTTCACTTTATAAACCTTGGCATGCGCTGTCAGGATATTTAGAAAGACGGTCTGCCTTCCAGGAGCTTCCGATTTTCACTTTCAGCAAATGCTCAAAACCAGTAACAAAAAAAGAGCTACTTTCGGGGCGTGGTAGCGCACGCCTTTAATCCCAGCTCTCGGGGAATTGTATTTTATGAGACAGAGTCTTACTATATAGCCTTGGCTAGCCTGGAACTCTACGTAGACCAAACTGACTTCAAACTCACAGAGATTCGCCTGTCTCAGCCTCTAATCCCAGATTCTGGGATTATAGATGTACGCCGCCACGCCTGGTCCCCCCCCCTTTTTTTGTATATATATGTCTGTATATGCACTGTGTGTGTAGCTGCCTGCAGAGAGGTCAGAAGAGGGTATCAAGTAACCCTGGAAATGGAATTAAAAGTGGTTATGAGCTACCCAATATGGTGCTCCTTCAAGAGCCGCAAGTGTTCTTAATGACTAAGCCATCTCGCCAGCCCTTGGCCATTTGATTTAGTTCTCGATGATGGAATTAAGAATCAAAGCGGCGTGCTGGTTCAGGCCTTAAAACATTCTTAATTCCGGGCGGTGGTGACACATTCCTTTAATCCCAGCACTGGAGAGGCAGGCGGATCTCTGCGAGTTCGAGGCCAGCCTGGTCTACAAGCGCTAGTTCCAGGACAGGCTCTAAAACTACAGCGAAGTCCTGTCTCGAAAAACAAAACAAACAAACATATTACCGCTTATTTTCATCTGCCATCTGTAATCCAGTGCATCATATTCTAATCATCCAACGACATGGACCTGGCAGACGTTAAAATAACTTGATGGAAGGAATTCTGATTCCTGACTAATTAAAAGACTTGCCTTTCAACAGACCCATTCACCTAAAATCTTACTTTGTAACAGAAATATATATATAGTATATATATTTATATCTATCTATCCTTAGTATATATACCATAGTACTATATATACCATAATACTAGGACAAAAAAATTTCAATGGAACAAATTAAGTCTAGGAAGCTGGGAAATGGTGGTGCATGCCTTTAATTCCAGAATTTGGGAGGCAGAGGTCTACTGAGTGAGTTCTAGGACTGCCAGGCTGTTTCACAGAAAAACCCTGTCTTTGAAACAAACAAACAAACAAACAAAAAAGATGTGTTCTCTACTAGATCGAGAGCAAGAGCGTGTCAGGATCCCAGAAGCTTATTCCATACCCTTTCCTACTAATTCCATTACCCCACCCCCTGTTGTGTGACAGAACTTTTCCTGGAGAGACGCAACAAACACACCTACTCACCCCAGATAGGGAGCCAACGACAGACCAAAGTCTGGAGACCACCAGAGTCCAACTTGGTGAACCAATGAGTGTTACTGGGGTTGTTTACAGGAGCAGAATTTACCCAAAAGCAGCTATATCACCAAAGCCCACCCCAGCATGAGTGACATCTCCCAAAAGCTGGGACCGTGAACCATACTGCACAGCCTGCAGGCTGCTCAACAGTTGGGAGAGTGTACTTTCCAGGTACCTTGGTTGGTTTAAACCTCTTCTAGGCAGCTTGACTGGTCTCTGCATCTTCAAAAGCAGGCAGCTGGTCTGGTCTCAGGGCGGCTTGACTGAAAGTCCCCAAGTTGTTTTTGCAGCTTGGCTCCCCTTCCTGTTTGAGGTTTTATTGCTGACTCTGGCAGCAAGGGGGCTTAGTGAATCTGATCAGTTTCAGGAACTTCCTGAAGCTATTTTGAGTTAGTTCCTCTCCTGTTAAGGAACTTTCTGTTCAGGATGGGATGTTTAAATCTTGGGAGGAAACTGTTGCCCTGCTTCTGGCCCCCTCTCGGGGCTTGTCCTGCAGCCCTGGTCGATCACTTATGTGGTGAGCTATTAAAGTCTTAGAAACCTATACATGCTGTCTCTCTCCTTCCTCACGGCGCACAATGGATCAGGTGTAACACTGACTGACTTACTCCATGTCTTTCCAATGTGTGCATCGTAAAGCATGTGTACCTATGTAGGCGTGTGTGCATGTTTATGGTGCTGGACATTGAGTCAGGATCTTGTTCTTGCTAGGCAGGTCATCTACCACTGAGCATTGTCTTCAGGCAGTTTTTAATTTTTAGCATGTTTTATATTATTGGTAGCATACTACTGTGAGTTGAGTAAGTATTAAAGAAAGGGACTTTATTTTGGCTTATGGTTCTGTATGTCTTATCTTCTCACAGGTCATCACAATCTCTTCGACTCTTGGCCCACCCCCCACCTCCCCTCTTTCCTGTCATTGGAGCTTGGACCATACAGTTTCCCGGATGGTCTCAAGTTCATGGGCTCAAGAGATCCTCATGTCTCAGAAACAAGCAGCTGTGGCTAACAATACCTAACTAACTGTAAAAATTTGAACATTCCGTACAGGATTTTTGTTTTTTGAGACAGGGTCTCATATAACCCAGACTGGCCTCAATCACTTTATAGCCAAGGATACAATCAAATGCCTGATTCTCCTCTTGTACCCCCCAAATTCTGGAATCACAGGCATACACCAGTACACCTGGTCCATTAAAGGTTTTGTTGTTTTGGTTTGATTCTTATAGCATTAAGAATTGAGCCCAAGGCTTCATACATGTTAGACAAATATTCTAGCATTGGACTATATCCCCAGCACTCCATAGATGTCTAAGATCTAACAACTTCAAGAAAACCAGCCTACAGATCACAATCCCAGAGAACCCTAGACAACAATGAGAACCCTAAGAGAGGCTTACATGGATCTAATCTACAAGGGAAGTAGAGAAAGACAAGATCTCCTGAGTAAATTGGGAGCATGGCGACCACGGAAGAGGGTTGAAGGGAAGGGGAGAGGAAGGGAGGAGAACAGAGAAAAATTTATAGCTCAATAAATTCAACAAAAAAATTTATTCAAATCCACAAAAAAAGGAAATCTAACAACTTTCTTTTTCTTTTTTCTTTTTTTAAATATTTATTTATTATGTATACAGTGTTCTGTCTGTGTGCATGCCTGCAGGCCAAAAGAGGGCACCAGACCTCTTTTACAGATGGTTGTGAGCCACCATGTGGTTGCTGGTAATCGAACTCAGGACCTTTGGAAGAGCAGGCAATGAATGCTCTTAGCCGCTGAGCCATCTCTCCAGCCCCAATCTAACAACTTTCTAATCCCTCCCAATCCCATTTATTCTAAAGTATAAATTGCTGTGAGTGCTACCACTAAAATAGGTTTTTAACTTTGGTGGCCGCACAGACCTATATAGAACTCAGAAGACTGAAGTAAGGGAGAGTGTTGTGTAGTAATTTCATCTGGATGGAAAAACACTCCCTTCTGGAGGGAAGTGAGGAATAGACTCACAAGCAGTTTAAGAACTTGGGGGGCTGGAGAGATAGCTCAGCAAACTGGAGCTCCTGCTGTGCAACCCTGAGGTCCAGAGTTCAGATCCTGACACTCCCATAACAAGAGAGAGACTTCCTGGGTAAGCCTGTAAGCCCAGCTCTGAGTAAGGGGTGGAGATAGGAAAGTTGTTGGGACTCACTACTGGCTTCCAGCCTAACTGAGAAAATACAAGCTCCCAATACAAACTTATACACATAGACATAGGCACACACAAATAAAGAAACATTTTTTCCTTTTAAAAAAAATTTTTTTTTTAGATAGGGTCTCTCTGTGTAACAGCCCTGGCTGTCCTAGAACCAGGTATTGTAACCCTATTCATCCGTGAAGCTTGCCACCCTATACTACATAAGAAAGCCATTATGAAAGTCCCCCCCCACACACACACACAAGAATGCACCGCCCTCAGATGGCCCAGCCTCAGTTGCTCATCTTATTATCCATAACAGAGAGCATGCAACTGCTCCTCTCAAACACATCCTTGGTTCTTTCAGACCCTGCCTAGGCTCCTAGAGTGTTGTTCCTTTTCCCCGGGGAGACGTGGAGAAATGTCTATCCATTTCAGTGAGGACATTGATGACAGAGCAAAGGAACAGTTCCACTCCTGTCTATCTTAGTGAACCCATGAGTTTGCTGGGGTTACATAAAGGATAACGAGTGGCTGAGGGGCAGCTGCATCACCAAGCAACTCCCTCAGCCTAGGTGACAACTTGCAAAAGCTGCTTTGGGGCAGCTCAGCGGTCTCCTCTCTCCCAGTAACCTCAGAGAGGGGTCCTGTAAGCTTCACAGCTCTCTTAACCAATCTTTGCAATTTTTAAAAGATGTATTTGAAGTCGAGCAATGATGGCACATGCCTTTAATCCCAGCACTTGGTAGGCAGAGGCAGGCGGATCCCTGTGAGTTCGAGACCAGCCTGGACTACGGTTCTAGGATAGGCTCCAAAGCTACGTAGAGAAACCCTGTCTTGAAAAACCACACACACACACACACACACACACACAGAGAGAGAGAGAGAGAGAGAGAGAGAGAGAGAGAGAGAGAGAGAATGAATCCAAGGAATTTGCATGGGACAAGAAGCGAGCCTGTGGCTGATCTGAAGGATTTAGACTAGCATATATGTTGGGTTTGTGAAGTGCTAAAGCATTCAGGAGAGAATGAGGGGAAAGGTGGAGGGGGGAGTGGAAAGCAGTTGGGAACTGTCTGAATCACTTAAAAGCAAATGTGGCAGAATTGGTTTTAGCTGGAGTTCTTAGGGGAAAGAAGTGACAAGAAGCCAAATTCAGTGCTTCTAAGCAGTAGGAAGATAACCAAGACTGTGAGGGTTGTCCAAGAGATCCCGAACATTACAGGCTATTGCTGCCCCACTTGGCTGCCCCAGAGAGGTGGAAGGTAAGTGTCTATTGATGACTTACCTTTGCTTCAGACAAAGGGCTCAGAGGCCCCTGACCTGAAAACCTCTTCTCTGGGGGCTAGCTTTCATGCTACCAAAAGGCTCCATGCCAGCTTCCAAACACATCCTACCCACCTATGATGCCTAGGAGCCACAAGAAGTTGGTGCGGCAGTGTCCAACAGCTCTCTAGTTAGACTTAAGACCCACCAGGTGCCTGTACAGGTCAGAAGAGGGCATCGGATTCCCTGGAACCAGAGTGACAAGTGGTTATAAGGGGCCATGTGAATGCTGGGAATTGAGCCCTGATCCTCTGGAAGAACAGCCCATGATCTTAACTGCTGAGCCTTCTCTCCAGCACCCATAACAGCCTTTAAAAAAAAAAATAAAACAAACAGATTTATACAACATTTCATAGTATGTAATTCTGTTTCATTCTTTCAAAAATATATACATATGTTGGCCAAGGAATGTTGTGAAATTACCAGTATTAAATTTGCCGGGCGGTAGCGGCACATGCGTTTAATACCAGCACTCGGGAGGCAGAGGCAGGCAAATTTCTGTGAGTTCGAGACCAGCCTGGTCTACAGAGCTAGTTCCAGGACAGGCTCCAAAGCCACAGAGAAACCCTGTCTCGAAAAACCAAAAAAAAAAAAAAAAAAAAAAAAAAAAAAAAAAAAAAAAAAAAAAAAAAANAAAAGAAAAGAAAAAGAAAAACTATAAAATAAATAAATTTGCTTAACCACTGGGTAGAGATAATCAAAGTAGTTATTAATTTTTAAGCATTTAAAAAGGTAAAACATGCATTTTGCACATAAGGGAAATGTTTGATGAACGTGTAAAGCTATGTATATACATCTGTATATGTGTGTCCATGGGGTCAAAGGACAAACTGAAAGACTTGGCTCCCTTCTTACTTGTAAGTCCCTGGTAGGGAACGCACATCATCAGGCTTGGTAGCAAGCGCATTTACCTCTTAGGCCCTCTAGAATCATCAAAAAAAAAATACTTTGTTGTGTATATTACAAATATGTCAGTGCTTCAGAAACTGGGGAACATCTTCGTCCTAGAGATGCACTTAAGGGACCCGTGTTTCCTCCAAACAATAAGAACGCTTCAGTCAGTGAGAATGAAACTACCAAGCCCAGAATTCTCTGTGCACATAGATCCGCCTGTGCCTCTCGCGGTGCCTTTTGGGACATGTAGTTTAAATTTCTGTGGTGCATGCCGCCTTGGGGCTGCGTTTCTTCCGCTCTGGGACACTGTTAAAGAAAGGTGTCCCACCAGGAAAGGCTAAACACCCCAGGACGCGATTGGTGAGCCGGAGAGGGCAGCCTCCTCCTGCTGCTGTCGGGGCCTTGGATGATCCCTGCCTTCTGAGCCGTCGGGCGCAGCGCTGTCGGGTCCGTGGAGGGCATGGGGAAGGACTCGCGGGTTTGTCAGCGGCTCTGCCTTCCGCACCCGGCTTAGTTCCGCCCGGGACGCGCGGTTTAGTTTAGCAGTCGCGGTCTCCTTGCGGGTTTGGGTCTCCGCAGGAGACCGGGGCAGGTCGAGCCCATTGCCGTCTGGTGCTGGACACCTAGGCTCAGGGTCAGCTCTCCTGCGGGCCAGATGCACGAGTTACCTGTCACTTGTGAACCGTGTGCGTGCCTGTGTGCCGCTCAAGCCTGCTCACCGCAAAGCCAACCTGTCACACTCCCCAGGCCTCTCCTACAGTTAACTGGTTTCCTCAAGGTCACCTTTTTGTAGTCGTGGATCGGCTGCCCGGTGAGACCCTCTCTCCACAAACAAGCAAGCAAATACCCTAAAACAAACACAAAAACCGATTTTTTTTTTCTTCTGCCGCGTTTGTGGTCAGAATTAAGCCTTTTAAAAATTGGGGGCCGGAAGAAACCCCCTTTTCCTGGATGTCTCATTTTGGATCAAAAATCTAGCTGGTTCAGACCAAGAACAAAGTCTGTAGTCCAAACAAAAAAGGAAAATCCTTGTTGCTTGAAGTTTGACGTTAGGGGGGTAATTTGATATCAATGAAACGAGTAACCAAGGTAAACCAGTTGTTTTGCAGATTCTATTGGAATGGATTTAGAGCCATCAGGATGGAAATAAAACACATTAGTGAAAGGCAGTTTTTATGCCATCACACAATACCCGACTTCTAGCTGCAGATGGACCAAAGAAAACCTGTGCTAACAAAGGAACAGAAGCCTGTATTTTGGAGCCCCATCCGTTATAAATATGTTCTGTCTCAGAGGACTCTCTCTACTCTCTCGGAGAGTGGTTCAGTTCCGCCCCTTCAGTTGTAAGCCATTAATTATTCAAATGCAGAACTGTACAGATGAAGAACAAGTATTTGATCTTATCGAAAGAAGCCCGGCCATACTTTCAGAGCCGCAAGTGGGTTGTGTGTTTAATATGCTCTGGCAGTTTCAGAAGCAGAAGACTAACTTGGAAAAAAACATTGAGTTTGTTAGAAACCATCCCCAGTTTCTTACTCTTTGCAATGCAGCGGCGAATCACATCCAAGCAATGGGTGATGACACCCTGGTGGGTGCGCTATACAGCATAAAACAGTAAGTTGCTTTTCAGTTTATGAAAACAATTCTAGTTCATATCTTAATTTCCTGAGAATCTCTTTTAAATGGAAAAACCATTCTTCCAGAAGACAGTTTTTCTTATACTGTAGTATCTTAAGGATATTTGAAGAATATTTTTTTGGTACCAGTTAGTGATATAGTTTAGAAAGCCAGGAAAGTACAAATGACTGGCTTTCCGTATGTGTGATTGGTTGATTGTGGAATAGTGGAGGAACGTGATTGGCTAACGGCAATGAGGCTATAACAGGTAAGCTGGTTAAGTCAGATTAATGTCTGCTGACAAGCCAGCAGTTATTGAGGTTCTATTTTTATTGATCCATTTGCAGTCTCTTGGCTTTCATAATTAAAAATTGCTTTGCATTGTTTTTATTGAGGTTTGGTGTTGAATCCCATCACCCTCTGGTTGAAGCACTGGTTACAGAAGCGTGGAAAAGGCTGGAAAGGCAAGTACTCTGGGCTTATCATATAAGATCAGGGTTAACGGGGGAGGGGAGTATCAAAACGAAATAGAGGAAAAGAATGAAGTTTCATAGGGAAAGAGTGCACTGGGCCTGGGGATGTAGCTGACTTGATAGAATGTGGACGCGTATACACGAGGCTGAGGACCCCATCCCCAGCGCCACAGCAAACCAGCCGTGTTAGGGCACTGTAGAGGTGGAGGCTTGTCTTAGTTAGGGCTACCGTTGCTCTGAAGAGACACCGTGACCCTGGTAACTCTTACAAAGGGAGACATTTAATTAGGGGTGACAGACAGTTTCAGAGGTGTAGTCCATTGTTATCATAGGAGACCCACACCCACAGTGGCACACTTCCTCCAATAAGGTCACCCCTACTCCAACAGAGCCATACCTCCTAATAGTGCCACTCTCTATAGGGGCCTGTAGCACGAATAATAAAAACCCAGAGACAGATATTAGGATTCAAGATGAAGATCAGAAAAGCAAAGTGGTCAGCCACTGGTTCTTACCTCTACTTCAGACTGAAGTGGGTGATCCTGCCTCCACGAATCCTCAGGCTGAGACTCAGTATGAGACCAGTCTCCCCCGGTTTTATATTCCTCTGTAGTGCTAGGATTAAAGGCGTGCACCACCACTGCCTGGCCTCTATGGCTAACTAGTGTGGCTGTTGGGATTAAAGACGTGTGCAGCCACTGCATGGCCTGTATGGCTGGCTAGTGTGGCTGCTTTGCACTCTGATCCAGGCAAGCTTTAGTTATTAAAACACTAAGTAATATACCACTATAAACGCCATTTTCTTTCATACCACAAGGCTGAGGATCAGAAATTCAAAATCATCCTTGGCTTCACAGCATGTTTGAGGCCTGCCTGGGCTACATGAAACCCTGTCTCAAAAGAAAAGAAAAAAAAGTTTGAAATTCAATTCATTTGAGGATTTTTAATTGTGTAAAAACATTCTTTCTTGGGCTGGAGAGATGGCTCAGAGGTTAAGAGCATTGCCTGCTCTTCCAAAGGTCCTGAGTTCAATTCCCAGCAACCACATGGTGGCTCACAACTATCTTTAATGAGGTCTGGTGCCCTCTTCTGGCCTGCAGACATACACACAGAATATTGTATACATAATAAATAAATGAAATATTTTAAAAAATTCTTTCTTGAATAAAGAAAGGGAACTGTAACACCCGATTCTGTATTACCCCCAGGTACAGTTTGCATGCCACTGGGACCGTGAGCAGCAAGGGCCTGGAGATTGAAAGAACACACTAGAGACCTGGGTCATTCGAAAGGAGATCAGCCAAAAGCTGTTTATTCAACATTAGGGAAATCCTTAAATACCTCGCTGCTGCACTAGGAGTTCCCCCCAGGCAGGTGGGAAATTGCCACACCCAAGATGGAGTAAACAGTGCCCTACAGCTCATCACCAGGTGGGGCAGAGGGAGCACAGAAACAAACAGAAATGTTTTAGCTGGCTGACCAGAAAATGTCCTCAGGATGAACCCCAGGAGCAGGGGCAGACCCAGGCCCTAAAGGGAACTATTCCAGCTGTTCCCTGTTTCAGTCAGAGCAGGCCTCAGTATGCTTTTCCATAGACGTTAAGTGCGGCAGAGTCACAGGTAGTCACTAGTTGCTTGCACTCTTGAAGAGTTCTGCTTTAGAAACAGAAGATTCTAACTGACTCCAGAAAAAGAATAAGCTTAAATTTCGGGGCTTGGGAGATGACCTGGCAGTAGATTCCTAGCGCCCATCTGGCAGCTCATGGTCATCTGTCACTCCAGTTCCAGAGAGTCTCCTCTGACCTCCAGGCCACAGGTGCAACACATGGTACGCAGACGTACACTCAGACAAGACACCCATACCCGTTAAATAAAAGCAACAACAACAATAGCAACAAAACATCCCTAGATTGCAAGGGCTACGAAAGGAGATAAAGGAAGACACGAGTTTGGTGGACTGGAGGGCGGGGGGTGGGGGGGGAGGCTGTGTGACACTTGAGCATCTCTGGTTTTCCTGCTACTCCATTTCTGTGAGAAGGCAGTGACCGCAGGTTACAGTTGGCTTCAAAGCTTCTGGAAGAGTTAGCTTTACACCAGTTACTGTTTTTCTTAGATGGCACCTTTCACTCTTAGCTTGCTTCGTGTTGCTGTGAATCAATTTTGACTTCACCCAAAAGAAGGATAGAAAAGAAAGTAAGCTTGAGGTCCTCTGCTGTTGACGGTGTTGTCACAAATGCACTGTCCAAGCTGGACAGCTGTGTTTTCATGTGACCGTAACTGATCGTCATCGAGAGGAATGTGAACTCTGTTCAGGATTTTCTTGTGAATACACAGCACACTCTGCAAGTATGTGTGGGAAGTCCTCCGTGTATGAGAGCCGAGACAGTAACAGAACCAGTTTAGGAAGCCTTCTGCACTTTCTGCCTGGGACTTCTGTGGTAGCCAAAGCCACTGCTAGTAGGATAAGGCAGATGGAAGTCAAGGGAAGAACACTCAAAGTAGGAGAGTGATGGAGGATACTGAAAGCAACCCCAAGGACCAGCAAGGTGCTCCGTGATTGATGAAGATGCCTGTCCCTAAGCCTGGTTGAGAAACAGAACTGGAGAGATGTCTCGGAGGTTAAGAGCACTGACTGCTCTTCCAAAGGTCCTGAGTTCAATTCCCAGCAACCACATGGTGGCTCCCAACCATCTGTAGTGAGATCTGGTGTCCTCTTCTGGCCTGCAGCCAGACATGCAGACAGAACACTATATATAATAAATAAAAATAAAATAATCTGAGAAACAGTATCATGTTAGGCAGTTCATGCTTGGAATCCCTGCACTGGGAAGGTCTGAGGCAAGAGGATTTCTATGCGTTCTAGGCCAACCTTGAGCCACCACTGCCCGACTAGAAATAAATTCTTATAGTACATACCCGTGTATCTTAGTTCTCATTGTGTTTTGAGGAGTCTTCCATAATATATGATTCAGTGGTTCTTTATTTATTTTCAGGCTTTTAATCTTTTTGAGACAGAGTTGCTCTGTGTAACAAGAGAAACCTGGCTGTCCTAGAATTTACTTTGTAGACCAGGATGGTCTTGAACTCGTAGAAATACGCCTGCCATTGCTTCCTGAGTGCTGGGGTTAAAGGTATTGGCTACCACCACCCAGCTCAGTGGCTCCTTCTTTTTATTGCTCTGTTACGTTGTTCAGTGGCTATGTGGGATTTACCCATACTACTGGAAATTTTGGCTCTTACGTGTTGTGCTGCTATCCTTAGATTAAAAATAGATTTTTTTGGGTTTTTTTTATTTTTAAAAATTACTTGTATATGTATGTGTCCAGTGGGGGGATGTGTGTACTCGTCTGCAGGTGCCTGCCAGTGGCCAGGGGAGGGTGCTGAATGCTGGTACTATCCCTAGCTGCAAGCCACCTGATGTAAGTGTGAGGCAGCCCACTGGGTCCTCTGGAAGAGCAGTATATACTCTTAACCACTGAGCCGTCTCTCTAGCTCCAGTCCTGATGCTTTTAATAAATAAAGCAAACAATAGTAACAAATTAAGACGGAGTGACCGGGAAGGTAGCTCGGTGGTAGTGTGCTAGCAAGGATAGTGTGTTTCAAGCCCTGTTAGATCTCCAGGACTAACAAAAAAGAGAAGAAAGGGAGAGGAAAGCATTGAACTGTGTAAGGGTGCACTTTTGTCTTGCCAGTCACTTGAAGAAATTGGATCGTTTTTCCTATCTAGAGATTTTTACTCATTTGCTAATATGCAAATGAAGCAACATTCCATGTTACCTCAAAAAGTAAGTGAAACTCCAATTGAGTGATTCTCTTTTAAATCTTTCTGCAGTGCTGGACTTTAATAGTCTCATCATTTGTTACTGTTGTAATAATGAACAATCAGCTCACCTTGGAAAATTTGATGTGTTTTGTTTTTTTGTTTGTTTTTTTGAGACAGGGGCTGTCCAGGACCTTGCTCTGTAGACCAGGCTGGCCTAGAACTCAGAGAGCTCCGACTGCCTTTGCTTCCCATGTGTTGGAATTAAAGGTGTGCACCTAGCTTGACATTACTTGTTTTTTGTTTAGTTTTGTTTTTAGTGTTGAGGATCAAACCCAGAACCAGGGTCTGGCATGTGCTGGGCACGCAACCAACCACTGACTTACTGCCCAGCCCTTGAAAAACCTTCAGCTTATTTTATAACTACATCATGTGTTCTAATTGATACTAATGATCTAATGTGAATTTCTTTTAACAGGTTTGATACTAATGTGCTCTCAATATTTTCTACTTGCCTGGCCGATCAGCATTTGTATTTCAGTCCATTAATGGGAAAAATAGCTGATATTGTAAACAGGAACTTGGAAACCATACAGGACTTAAGGTACATTTATTTGGGGCCTATGGGGGTGCGAGGATGCTGGGCTTTGGGTGCAGATGGAGATGTGTCGGGTGTCACTATAATCACATCTCTCGTGAGGGCGACATCCTCATCTACACAACAGCGACGGCAAGAGCTGCTTGGTACTGTGGAGATCTCTGAGGAGCTAAGGTTTTTAACTTACCAAGTTGGCCTGCCGTGTCCGCAGCCAGATGTCACATTTTCACGTGTGGCAGCAGAAAACGTGGGATTGCCAGGTCAGAGCCAGAGGACTGCTTCTCACGATGCCAGAAAAAAAAGTAAAAATAGACGAAACAATGTATGGCATGAAGCTGTATGCTTGCCAACTTCTTTCCATATCTGCTCATTTAATTTAGAACTGGTCATTTTTGCTAGGAGTATAAAAAAATCTGTGTATCTTCTTTTCTCCTTTAAGGGCCTTGTCTGTCTTGATGGTCAGCATTTCTTCTATAATATCCCACTGTTTCCAAGAAAGACTCGTGAACAAAACAGAACTGCTTTTTGATGGTGTCGACTCTTCCAATGTCAACAATGCTAGACGGATATTACAGTTCCTCCGCAGTGTCAAGTGCAGTTATTACCCGCTCCTGGAGCGGTGCAACCAAGTGTTTATAGGCAGTATGAGCAGTCTTGACTTGGAGGCCCTCTGTAGAATCTTCAGCCTGTACCAGTACCTGCAGTTCCACAGTTTTGAGTTTATTGAAGTGGCTCGAAGGAGGCTAGTCGAGATGATCCCCTGGTCATCTGGCCACCCCGCAAGTTTTGTCAGATTGTTTGCCGTGTTGGGACCGGTGGCAGAGCCTGAAATAAGGAAACAGTAAGTTTAACTTAAAAATGTTCTATTTTCATGTTGGCTTCTTCATGCTTAGCTCTCCTCGGAGCTTGGAAACTCACCAGAATCACCCCGCTCGGCTATGGAAGGGAATAATCTGTTACAGTCTGTTCCTTCAGATGTCTGGTATCCTCCACAGTGGACTAGACAGAAGATGAGGGGCCCCGCCTAAGTATTTTCATCAGCCCTTCCTGGGTCTGCACAGAGGCGTGAGGCTCCTGTTTAGGTTGTGGTAGTCTACACAGTGGGTTCTCTATCCCGTTATCTTCATCCCGCTCACGTGATGTCAAAATTCCCAGGTTGCTTCTGATCATGCTGTTTTATCACGAGAATAAAAAAACCTAACTAAATGTTAATGATAATCATGTGTTACAGATATTTATTCCAATTCCAGAACAAGTAGTTCTGTTATTAAAAATGATTTTACACACACAAAGATTGGCGGTAATTAAAAAAAAAAATAAGAAAGCACACATTGGATGCAATGGTGCCTGGCTGTGATCCCAGCCTTAGAGGGAGTAGAGTGAGTTTGAGGCCACTCTGGGTTACACAGGGAGTCCCAGCCGAGCCCGAACTGAGACCCTTCCCTTCAGAACACTCAGATGCAGGAACAGGTGCACCTGCAGCTTGAGTGAGTTTAGTCTGGCTCATCTTTTTTAAGAAGTCTGATTTCATAGACTATTGATATAGATATAAATATCTGGAATGGTTAGTTGGATTTTTTGTTATTTTGTTGGGAGTTGAATACAGAAAGGGTCTTTCATATATTAGACAAGAGCTCTTATCTATTTACTTTGTATTTGGAGACAATCTCACTCAGTTTCTCAGGTGAGTCTTGAACACTTGCAATTCTGTATCAGCCCCTCACACTGCTGAATTATGGGTCAGTACCTGGCATTTGGTTAGATATGATATATATAGGTTAGATCTTGCTCCATTTAAAATATTTAGATATTGCTAGGAGATATGTAACTATTAAACTAATATACAAACATCATTTGGTTATCTCTTCCTAGACTATGAGGCTAAAGTTATGCAATAATAACTCTAATCCCTAATCAGCGTAACTATATGGAATATTTTGTTTTTCGAGACAGGGTTTCTCTGTAGCTTTGGAGCCTGTCCTGGAACTAGCTCTTGTAGACCACCAGGCTGGCCTCGAATTAACAAAGATCCTCCTGCCTCGGCCTCCTGAGTGCTGGGATTAAAGGCATGCGTGACCACCGCCTGGCTATAGTAGTCTTTTTAAAATATTTATTTTAAATTATTTGTATACGTGTGTGTGCATGAGTGTGCATGTGTGCATGTTTACGTGCGAGTGCAGGTGCCCTGGGAGTCCTGTAGAGTGTTGGAGTCCTTGGAGCTGGAGTTTCAGGTGGTTCTAAGCCACCTGAAATGGATACTGGAAACCAAACTCAGGTCTTCTGCAAGAGTAGTACACATTCTTACCTGCTGAGCCATTTCTTCAGCCCAGGAATTCACAGCAATCTGTAGATGCGTGGTGAAGAGCTTTCTTTAAGCAGGGTTTCCAAGAACTCCATAGTAGAGAGATATGTAGTTTTTCTGTTACCCAAAAACTGTTCATTCAAACAAATTGAAAGCCAGTTTCCCAACATTAAAAAAACCTGTATTTTTGTTTCTAGGCTTAAATCAACTATGCTGTTGATGTTAGAGGAGCTGACCGGCCAGCAAGTGCTGACAGTGTTGATAGCCATGGAGGAGATGGAGAGCAGAAACGCACACTTGATTAAAAAGTAGTCTTTCCTGAAGTTCATGGCGCTAAGTTTAGCTGTCACTCATAAGTATCTGCTTTTCTTTCCTGACAAATACTTGTGTCTAATTGCTTTGAAGTAATAAAGAATGAACATTGTTTATGTTCCCAAATGTTTGTGACTTCTGGACAGAGATGGGGTTCTTTACAGAGGTTTTCATTTCCTTTCCTGCTACTGCTAGACCAAAGCAGAGCATCGTAGTGCATGCATCGTAGTGCGTGCATCGTAGTGCATGCATCGTAGTGCATGCGTAAAGCAAGGGCTGTGCTTTCCAGAACACTTGGTTGGAACTTTCCAGAACATAAGGACTTGTCTCACTGTTGCCTCTAACTTACTGGTAGTGCGAGATTTAAGAAGGGAAAAAAAAAAAGCCATTCAAATTGCATATGCATAATTTTTCTTTATTATATGTTCCTTTAGTTAAGGTTCCACTGTCTCATTTCTCATTATGTTTCCCACTTTCTCCTTTTCTTTCAATTATTTTTAGCTCATCCCCCCCGAGGGCCAGAAGGTTATGGGAGAAAATGAGATTAGTTTTGTTAATTGCTAGTAATTTATGACAAAAACTATTCTTGGCAGCAGGATGTGGAATTTGATGTCTGCTCCCTGTTATGCTTTGTTTCTGCTTTTTCCGTTTTGTAATTTGGGAAGTAAAGCTATGCCCTTCTTTAGAAAAATATTCTGTAAAAAAATTGTATTTCTGAGTATTTGTCCTGCATGTATGTATTTGTACCATGTATCTGGTGCCTGCAGAGTCCAGAAGAGGTTGTTGGGTTCCCTGGAACTGGAGTTACAGATCATTGTGAACCATCATATGGATGCTGGGTCCTCTGGAAGAGCAGCCAGTGCTCCTAACTGCTGAGTGACCTTTCCAGCCCCTAAAGCCACGCTTTTCTCCCCGTTTCAAATTCACACTTCATGACTGCCCCTTTAGTTCTGTTTCTGTCAGCATCTGGAGACTGTTCAGTCAGAACAGAAGAGGAGGCATTTTTTTACTGATCCTCCACAAAGCAGTGTGTGTGGCCTGAAGTCTGTCTAGTCATTGTTCAATAAACAAGTGAATGACCGGGCTATAATAATGTTCTTTTTAGGATTGTTTCGGTGCTGTATAAACATTTGGATACCTATAAATCGATAGAGCTACTGAAGATAACACAAGCCTTGAGTTGTCTACATTTCCAAAATAAGGATCTTTTTATGAAACTTCGAGAATTAATTCTCAGGTAAGATTTAAGTATTTAAAGAATAAAATATTCAATTAGTATTTCATTTAGAAATCTATCCTTGTTTGCTTTATAGTGTATAAAGTAGCTAGAATTTTCTAGACAAACCTGAATAGCTTATTATTGACATTCTGAGACCTGGGCTGTATCTACTGTGCCGTACTATCATGTGCCCTTCATGTGACCCAGTACCACTAAACAACTAGGCAAACATATACACAGTTTCCCCTTTACCTTAATAACTGAAAATGACTGTATTTTCTCTGGTTATGTCACATGCGTTCTCAGTTTTCCATTGATTTGGTTGAGCTAAAATGAAGTGTTACTAATTTTACTTTAAGTTTACTAATAATGAATGACCAGTACACTGTGGCTAGCATGGACTAGTAAGATTTTATTTCCCAAGCAATCAGTGGGGTTTGTGGGTGTGTTTGTTCTTTGTTCTTTTTTTTGTTTTGTTTTGTTTTTTTGTTTGTTTGTTTTTTTTTTGAGACAGGGTTTCTCTGTGGCTTTGGAGCCTGTGGAACTAGCTCTGTAGACCAGGCTGGTCTCGAACTCACAGAGATCCGCCTGCCTCTGCCTCCCGAGTGCTGGGATTAAAGGCGTGCGCCACTACCACCCGGCCTGTTCTTTGTTCTTTTTTATATAGGAACTCAGAACTCCAAAAACAACAAATAATAAAATCATAGCAACTGTTTTATATTTAATGTAGATTAAATAATTTCTTCTAAACCTAATGGTGTCTTAAAATGGCCAGTCCTTAATTTGTTGTTAAAGAATTACTGTCCTCACGGTGGGGTAGTTACTGCACAGATTTGGAAAACAGGGAGTAGAGAGTGAGGTCAGGTGTCAGTCTGTCTGCTTGTGAGCATGTGTCTGTCTGCCAGTATTTTAATACTGTATTTCTGGTATTCATAACTAAGAAGGGAATTGGTATTATTGAGGGTTGTCCTGTGCCAGGGCCTATTCAACGTCGCAGCAGCTCCTGGTGGCCATGCAGACACTGAGCTCAGATTCTTGCAGCAGCAGCAGTAGCATCAGTAGCAGCAGCAGCAGCAGCAACAGCAGTGGCGGCAGCAGTACCAGGCTCTCTTTTCTGATGCTGACCTTTTTCCCATTGATGGTGGTTTTCTTACTGCATGAAGTGTGGAGCATGGCTGTCATCTTCGCCTTTCCTTAGTGATCCCTAATGATCTGTCCCTTGTGAATTAATTTTAAATGAACCTGACTTTCTAAGGCCACCTCACCTTTTTAACAATTATATAACAATATTTTAATTCACGTATTTTGTGTATCTTTTGGTTGTTGCTGGCGTGTTGGTTATATTCTTTCTGTTTTTTCCCCCTTTTCCTTTACGTAATAGTCATTTGGAAGCTAGCGTCATGCCGAGTGAGATTTGTATTCTGGTCTGTGCTCTATCCATGCTTCCTTCCTCTCGCCTCGACCAGACAGCGCTGTCCCGCCTCGAAGCCATTTTACCCCAGTGTGACTTCAAGGAGCTGAGCGATATTGCAGTGTCTCTTCTGAGGTGGATCCAGAATGATCACACATGCTTGGCCGGCCCTGCTAGACAGCAACTGAATCTCCTTCGGAAATTAGATCACCGGGGCCATCATCGATTACAGCAAAGCACCAGCTTGGATCTCCTGTGGGAGGATCTTAAAGCTTTGAAAGGGGAATGGCTTCAGGAGTCCTTGGTTGAAGAATCAGTTGCTGCTTTGGAACACTTTGTGGATGAAATCGATGGCACCAACGTTACAAAGATCGCGTCTTTTCTTTCCAAAACTAACTACCTCAGCACCGTAATACTTGATAGAATAGCTTCGGTGGTCATCCAGCAGATTGAAAAGGTGAGATTTAAGTGTTAGACATGACTTTTACACTGTTCAGCTTCCAGAAAGCACATACATACATACATACATACATGGATACATACAAGGATACATAAATTATAAATACTTAAATACTTTTTAAACTTAGATGAGAGTGAAGTTCAAAATTTCAGCTCTGGCTTCTGGTTTATCAGTTTGTTCTTTTTCACTTTAAAGCCACTTTTGAGCAGGGTATGATGGCACACTTGAGATCTCAGTGTTTGGGAGGCTGAGGCAAGAGGATTGCCAAGAGTTTAAGGTCCAAGTGGACACACAGACAGACCTTGTCTCAGACAAAAGGAAGGAGCTGCCTTGTTCCCCTACCCATGGATTTGGAGAGAACCATGGTCATCCTTTGATTCCTTCAACCCTTAAGATCAGAAGCCAAAGAGGCTTTGGCTTGTTTCATTTTTGAGAGACAGAGTCTTGTTATGTAGCTCACAGTCTAGAGCTCCCAGAAATTTTCCTACCTCTGCCTTCCAAGTGCTGGGATAAAGCATGTAACACTATGCCCAGCTAAGATCAAAAGTCAGAGTTTTTTAATTGGAAGGCAGTATTTAAAATATTAGGCATATTTTCATGGTAGCCAATAACTGATTTTTAATTTTCTTTTTTTTCTCTGTAATCCTGGGTATCACTATTAAACACTTGCAGGCTGGCAAGATGGCTTAGCAAACAAACGCACTTGCCTCCCAACAATGCGGGTCTGATGGACCTGAGTTTGCTGCCAAAAGCCTTGTGATAAAAATGGAAGGGAGAGAGCCAACTACACAAAGCTGTCCTCTGACTTACACGTGTAGATGTGGCACACACACTTGTGCATGTCACACACACACACACAAAATCGAGGGAAGCGTGAAGAATGAGAAAATAAGGTATTTGCTGACACTCGCATCCCTAAGTTGTCATTGTATACTTGTTTCTGAAATTACGTTGGCTAAGCTGCCTTATGGATCGGATGAGAAGACCCTTTCTTACAAAATCATTGTCTGTATGTTAGGATGAGGTCTTTATTCAGAAGCTAGTGCTTTTCACAAAGAACATAAAAATGTCTAACTTGCTTAGCTTTGTGCCCGGCAGGTGCTTAGATGAGTGATGTGTCAACAGGGAACAACGAAGTGGCCGTAGATCAATGGTCGCTTGCTTGGCCTTCGGTCCAGCCCTCAGTACTGCCAGGCAGCATAGCTCACTCCTGGGATCTCGGCAACTGACCTTGAGCTTGGACTGTACAGTGAGTCCCTGTCTCAAAAATACCAAAGGATGGAAAGTGTGTGGAAGAAAGATGCTGGTGGCTATAAATTAAGGGACTTCCTTGGCTGTAGAAGGATGTTATTCTGTTCAATGCCCTGATGACATGGAAGTAATTGGGGCTTCTTCCTGTTCATTTCCAGTGAGGGGTGGATCCCACAACAGGGTTTTTACCTGGCTGCTTTGCTGTTCTGTGCTAACATTTTCACAGCTACTAATAGTTACAGATTTAAACAGATCATTGCAGGACGCAAAACTGATACATTTGTAATGTCATTATAGGCGTGTGAGAAAGACTTCGTCTAAAATGGTAGATTAAAATTGGTTTCGCTGAAGCCAACACTAAATTCTTGTTTGCTCATACAGATCCATCCCTTTTCCATCCCCGCTGCTATTCTTCCATTCAGTGTTTTCAACTATGATCCACCTCAAAGGGATGAGTTTTTAGGAGCGTGTGTCCAGTGCCTTACTTCTTACAAAGGTAGGTAAAATGATTGGCAGAATAATGGGTGAGTAGGTTCTTGTTCGTATGACCTAAGAGCTGTTACAATGGCCTTCAGTAACCAGGTATTCATAATAGCTGGAAACTCTGTGCTACAGATGTTTAAAGCTGGGTGTGGTGGTGTATATCAGCCCTTTGGTGAGGCAGGAAGGTTGCTTGTTTGAGACCAGCTTGGGCTGGGATGGACTTCTGTCTGCCTGTCTGTCCATCCATCTGCCTGTCTCTCTACCTGTTGTGTCTTGAAAGAATCTGTCTCAAGAGAAGTATCCATTTCTCTGAAGCCTTTTTAGTATGAAAATGTGAGACTTGTGTAAGAATTGAGCAAGGAGCACCAATATAGCCATGGCGTGGACTGGATGATGTTACTGTTTTGTCATGCTTGCTTTATCTCTTGCTCGCTCCCCCACCCCATCTGTTTTAAAGCATGCTGTGCTGTATTGCTGAAGCACACCTGCCCAGAATGATGAACCTCTTATATCAGCACACACCGTGAGCACACTAAGAAACTCCAGGGTCTTTGCATAATTAAAGAGTCTGTGTTTAATGTCTTCCTAATCTGTACCCCCAAATAACCACTCCAGTGTTTACTTTGGTGGTTACCTGTTTCATCTCTCATAGTCTAGAGTACCACCCTCATACACTTTTAACTTAGTGTCGACATCTGGGGAGAAGCTTTCAATTCTTTCCTTTTTGTTAACAAGGTTTTCAAGGACCTATTAAAGTTGAAGGGACAAATATCTGTGTAGTATATCCCCAGTCTAGCTTGAACTATAGCATTCTTCTGCATATGACGAGCCTTTGAATTATCCTCTCTATATGCTTCAGGGAAAGAGAACATTCTCCATGTAGCCACTATGCCAGCATTACAACCAGGATAACCAACAGTGCCATCTATTACCTAGACCATCATCAAAGTTTCCCATTTGTTACCATTTTTTTTTGTTTCCCATATAGGGAGGTTATGTGTGCGTGTGTGCATACTGTGTGTGTGTGTGTGTGTGTGTGTGTGTGTGTGTGTGCTTCTGGTATGTGAGTGGCAGAAGACAATCTCAGGGGCCTTTCAGGTACTTGGCTTTCCCCTTGTGAGTGTCTTTTGTTTGTCACTCCGTGGGCTTCACTCACTGGAAAAGCACTTGCCCAGCTTGGATGAGACCCAGGTTCAATGCTGGTACTGTAAGAAACAAATGAACAAACAAATAAACCCAATGGAGTGATGATTTTCCTCATTTTGAATGCAGAGTAGGTTTTTATAAAAAATAGTTTTTATTTTAGATTTACTTATTGTATGATGGGGGCATATGCCACAGTCTGGGTACCGCGTGTGTGTGTCAGTCAGAGGACAACTTGTAAGAGTCAATTGTGCCTAACTATTTGCTTTGCTCATGATTTGGTCTTTTTTGTAAAAATAAAATCAGCAAAGAAATCCAAAAGGAAAGATTATTGTTTGGTTGGTTTTGGAGACAGGCTCTCACATGAGCCTAGGCAGACCTGCAACTGTAATGTAGCCATGCTGGTCTCAAACTTGTGCAGTCCTCCTGCCTCAGCCTCCCAAGGACTAGGATTATAGCGGTGTGCTACCACACCTGTGAAGATTTGGGGTTCATCTTTTCTGTCCTTCATTAGAATTCTTGTGTCAGTGCATCATGGTAGTTTTCCCTTCCCTGCGTAAGAAGGCTCTCAAGTGAGGCAAATCTGGCAAAGCCTTAGCTTTATCTAAACTGCTTATCTATATGTACATGTGAAACAGCTGTATGTTATAATTTTAAACTCATTTTTTAGGTAAATTGGATCCTGTTACATTAGTGTTTGTTGGTTTTTCTTTGGCCACGCTTGAATATTTTCCAGAAGATCTGCTAAAGAAAATGTTCACCATCAAGTTCTTAGCCAGATTAGATTCCCAACTTGAAAGTATGTATCTGCATTTTAGTTTTAGAATTTACTAAATGTACCTTGTATGCAAGTGTCATTTGTGTCCATACTGAAGCGTTTAAAGGCTAATGATATTATTTCCTGCTAGTAAAAGCATTTTATGATTAGCTGGGGGGCAGTGTAATGGTAGAATGCTTGCTTAGCATTTGTTAAGCCCTGGGTTTTACCTCCAGAACTGGGAAGGTGGGGATGTGTGTATACATATATGCAGATATTCTTGTAAATATATATATAATATAAAATAGTATATAACACACACACACACACATCACACATTATACCCAAGGTTTCAGCATATGGGAAGCTGAGGCAAGAGGATTGAAAGTTTGAAGCAGAGCAAGCCACCCAGGGCCTTGTATTGAGATCCTGTCTTAAAAAAAATTATGAGGGGGCTGGAGAGATGGCTCAGAGGTTAAGAGCATTGCCTGCTCTTCCAGAGGTCCTGAGTTCAATTCCCAGCACCACATGGTGGCTCACAACCATCTGTAATGGGGTCTGGTGCCCTCTTCTGGCCTGCAGACATACACACAGACATAATATTGTATACATAATAAATAAATAAATATTTTTAAAAAATTATGAATATAATGAAAACTTTTATAAACACATAAAACATCAGAGTTAGATTCTTTCACCAAGTAAAACCTACTTTAATGGGGAGGTGCTTTCTTTTCCTTCTTTTGTTTGGAGAGGATTGAGCCCAGGGCATCTTGCATGCTAACCACACACTCTACCATTAGGTGATACTCAAGTGCTTAAAATGTTTCTTTTGTGTCTTCCTTTTGGTCCCATATAAATACTTATGTATCAAAGTATGTTTTTAAATAGATGGAGAATTTAAATTGCTTTTTAAGCTGCTGTTTTCATTGAACTATATTCTGAATGTCATAAATATTTTTTGATGTCATATTTTTACTGGATTCATGGCATACCATTATATAACTATAGTGAAACTTCTGTCATTTAAAACCAGGAACCTCCTTTTTAAAAAGGGCAGCGCTGCGGATTAATTCCAGGGCCCTGTGCATGCGCTGCAGGCACGCATTATAGTTATATCCTAGAGAATGGGCAGCGCTGTGGTTTAACTCCAGGGCCCTGTGCATGTGCTGCAGGCACGCACTATAGTTATATCCTGGGACTCATTTCTCATTTTACAGGTTGTTTCCAATTCATTACAACTAATAAATATTACACACAACCATGGATTGGTTTCTTAGGATAAATTCTAAAATTGGAAGAAAGTCAATGAAAATTCTTTGTGGCATTTTTTTTTTAAATGTAGCAATGTAGCTTTAAAATTCACAAAGTGTAGAAATTGGTCTTTTTGTTGTTGTTGTTTTGAGACAGGGCTTCTCAGTGTAACAGCTCTAACTGTCCTGGAACTCAGTTTGTAGACCAGGCTGACCTTGAACTCAGAGATCTGTCTGCCTCTGCTTCCAGAGTGCTGGGACTAAAGGCGTGTGCCATCACTGCCTGGCAGAAATCAGTCTTAATCATGTTACCAAATATATCAACTTAAAGATATGAAGCATTCACAAAGGAAGTGATTTTCTCATGTAAGAGCTCAAGTATCAACCAACAGTGGGGGTCATGGTATGAAGAAATGAAGTTTCTGCTAGGTCTAGGCTATCCAAATCCATCGGTAATTTGCTTTTAATTTCAGTTTTACCTTCAAGTCTAAGTGCAAGGGTCCAGTTCCGCCTTATGGAGTTAAATAGAGCCGTCTGCCTGGAATGCCCAGAGTTTCAGACCCCGTGGTTTCATGATCGCTTTTGTCAAGGACACTATAACAAAGGTTTGTTTTCTTTTGGTAAGAGAGTATGGTTAATTCCAGAACAGATTATTAGGTAATACATTTTTATCACCATTAAATCTAAATATGGCGAGAGTTTCCAGAAGGGCCTATGGCTTGTTAAATAGTTTTGTAAGTAGGTTTCATTTTTTTTTAAAATAAGTATTTGCACAACTTTAACGGGAAAACCAGACTCACGAAACCAAGGTTCCCGCGAAGTACAGGAAACAGGAAGGGCAGTGGGTTTCATTTTGCAGGAATTTCTTAACCAGGACACCGACCACCTGAGCAGGCACTTACCTCCTACTGTGTTTAGTGTTATTGCACATGGATCTCATTAGGCTCTTACCGTATCTATTTGCTTCTCGCGTGTGCCAGTGGTTGCACACCCAGGCGTGTGTGCAGGTCAGAGGACAGCTTTCTGCAGTCAGCTCTCTCCTTCCACCTTCATCTGGGCTCTGGGGCTCAAACTCAGCTCCTTAGGCTTGGGAAGCCAGCCCTCTTACAAAACTGCTGAGCCTCCTGGCCAGCCCTGAGGCTCTGGGTAAGAATTTTTACTTTTCGATTTGTAGAATAAGGATGGCTTTTCATTTTCTTAATTTTCCTGAAGATGTTGGTGTTGTGACTGGAGCACAACAACAGATCTATAAGATGCTAGCAGAAATCCTCGGCGGACACAGATGTGTAAAGGCTTCGACCCTTTCGCCGTATTACCACACAGTGGGTAAGTCGCCAGACACAGCCAGCTCCTTTCGGACCACCCTCCCTCGGATCATCTTCTTCTGGTTAGCTGGAACTTTAGAAAGGTTTCTAGCTGCTTGTAAAAATTTGTTTTTATTTTTACATGTGTAATCATTTACCCACATTTGTGTAAGTGCACTAAGTGTAGCCTTAATACTTACATATACCAGAAGAGAGAGCCATACCTGTGAAACTGCACTTAGTGACAGTGATGAGTGCCGGCCATGTTGGCGCTGAAACCCAGCCCGGGTCCTCTGCAGTGGCCTTCAGTGCTCTTCGTCCCTGAGCCCTCTCTCAAACCCCAGGTTTATAATTTCTTTTCAAATTTTGTTTTGTTTTTAAAGATGTATTTATTTATTATGTATATAATGTTCTGTCTGCATGTTTACCTGCATGCCATTATAGATGGTTGTGAGCCACCATGTGGTTGCTGGGGATTAAACTCAGGCCCTCTGGAAGAGCAACCATTGTGCTCTTAACCGCTGAGTCACCTCTCCAGCTCCCTTCTTTTCAAATTTTTATTATAAAAAAATTTTCAAACAGACAAAAGTAGACAAAAAATATAATAATGAATTCTCAAATTCATTCCCATAGTCCAACTTTGATAACCATCAATATTGTCATTTTCAGAAAAAAAATTAAAGTTGATCTTCACCAGTGCTAAGTAAAATCCAGATTCGGGTTCACTAAACATTTCTGGATCTTCAAAACATTCTGTCCGTGCTGGGTGGTGGTGGCGCACATCTTTAATCCCAGTACTCGGGAGGCCAGCCTGGTCTACAAAGCAAGTTCTCGGACAGCCAGGGCTACACAGAGAAACTCTGTCTTGAAAAACAAAAAATAAAAACAAAACAAAACCCACCAAAACCCCGACAAGATCCTATCCTCCCTGGACATGGTGGCACATGCCTATAATCCCAGCTTCTTGGGAGGTTTAGGTGGAGAGCAAGACCCTGTCTCAAAAACAAAGAAAGAAAGAAAACCAAAGCACACAGCAGGGCTTTGGAGAAAGTGTAGGCCTTTGCTGCTCCCTCCAGCTGCACCGCTGGTTTTCCTGTTTGGAAAGGTTGCTGTACCTTATAAGGTAATGAGGGCTCTGCCCGCATGAAACCATCACCTCCTAAAGGCTCTCCTCCTAATACCGTCATATTGATGATTAAGTCCCATTATGTAAATTTCAGGTGAGACCATCTGTCCTAATTTGCATTCTATTGCTGTAAGGAAACACCATGACCAAAAACAACGTGGGGAGAAAAAGGTTGATTTCATCTTACAGCTTGCTGCCTGTCATCCAGGGAAGGCAGGGCAGAAACGTGGAGGCAAGAACTGAGGCAGAGTCCTCGGAGGGTGGTAGGAGGCTTTGAAACCCCAAAGTCTGTGCCCAGTGATGCACTCCATTCAGCAGGGCCACTCCTCCTAAGCCTCCTAAGCCTCCTTAAGTAGTGCAACTAGGGACCATGAGTTCAAATCCTGAGAATATGGGAACATTCATTCAACCACTAAATAGAATAAAGCTGGGTGCTGGTAGTCTAGTTATGGAAGAAGCTGAGGCAGGAGGATGACTTGAGCATTGGGATTCTTAACCAGCTAAGCAACATAGCAAGAGCCTATCTCAGAAATGCAAAGGTAAATAACTAAATTTAATATCATATAGCCTCCATGTTTTTTTTATATATATATTTGATTTACTTGTTCAAATTTGGATACAAATATTGCATTTAGTTTATTTGTCTTTTTTTCTTCAGTTTTTCTCCTACCCCCCCCCCTTATAATTTATTGGAGAACATTCCATCATCTAGACTCCTCTGATCGAACCCCTTTGGCATCGTTTAACATGCTCATGTTGCTCTCACCTTTCTGGTAAACCAGCAGTTAGAAGTGGATGCTTACTTAATTGGACTCTAGCTTTAATTTGTCTCACAGATGGCTATTATTGCATCGCATCAAAACTCATCACTCATCAGCGGGTCTGTAACGCTCTTCAGGCTGACTCATCTGTGAGACAGTTCCCTTGTGAGCGTTTGCCCTGCTGACTTCAGTCGCCATTGCCTGTCGCTCCTTGCCTAAATCTAGCATCTGTAAGGGAGGCCAGAATAGCAAGTTTCCACACGCACTGTTCCTTCCACATGGATGGCTCCGATGTGTCTCTGAAAAACATTTCTGTGTCAGCTTAGTTCCTATGCATGACGTTCATATAGGAAGGCTTGTCCTTGTTGTACAGATGTGTTGTCTTAGTACATCTTTTTTGAGACAGTCTGGCTATGTAGCTTGCTGACCCTAACTTGTCCTCCTTCTGCCTCAGCCTCCCAGTTGCTGAGATTCCAGGCATGCATCACTATGCCTGCCTTAAAGCAAAACTCTCGCATATGATTTGACTTAGCTCAGTGCGAAGTGTAGCCAGCTATGTGCTGTACTTAATACTTGCTTGGTATTTATTGATTTTCAAAGAAAAGTATCAATTGGACGCTACCTTACAAAATGAGTTGGATAGTCAGGGAGTTATGCTGTTCTTTTTGCTCTTTTAAATACATGTGTGAATATACATGTCTATGTAAATATGTTTAAAAGATACTTAAACTTTTGGCTGCTAGAATTTACCTAATTTATACTATTGATTCTTTTTATTTTTGAAATAAGATTTTGAATGCATTTTGGATAAACGAAAAAAACCTCTTCCTTATGAAAGCCACAGCCTACCTCCAGGGAAATCACCGGGAATATACTGGGAGTCAAATACTTCAAGAGTTGAGTCAAGGCTTCCACCAGAATCTGAGAGGTAATTTATATGTTAGTTTTAGGGTATTTTTTGAATGGTTATATCCGGCATTATATCATAGCCTCCTGTATTAGGGGTTGGTTTTAGCACCTGCTACTTTCCTTCAGCTGTCCATGGCCAGCAGTCTGTGTAATCAAGTGATGGCCTGGTCATCCTCAGCCAGGTGTGCATTGTTTTCTTCCTAGCACCCCATGCTTCTCCACTTGGGGGAGCACTTAGCCACCTCTTTCGCATTGCTGCTGTACTCACACATCAGGTTGGACCATAGCTATGCTGCTTGACTTCATGGGTAAATTTTTTATGGAAGTCTCCACCTCATAGGTGCCTGTTGGACAAAGAAACTCATGAGTTTTACGAGATGTTTTGTTTTATAGTTTCTTTAAATGAAAAGGTTTGATTTCAGCCGGGCGATGGTGGCGCACGCCTTTAATTCCAGCACTCGGGAGGCAGAGGCAGGCGGATCTCTGTGAGTTTGAGACCAGCCTGGTCTACAGAGCTAGTTCCAGGACAGGCTCCAAAGCCACAGAGAAACCCTGTCTCAAAAAAACCAAA